ATAGATTTCAATGCCCATAGGGGTTTCTTCAGCCAGATTGATGATCTCGGCCTGTAGTATTACCATGCCGATTTTGAAGAAAATCGTAGGGGCCGCCCCATTGACCGAAAATTTTCATCTTGGGTAAACTTTACCCTGGATGGGGTAATGGGTAAATTTTACCCCACCATTTTGTTTGGGTTTTCATGGGCTTTCATATGATACCCATATTGGGGGATGCGTGCGATACACTTGCCAGAAATGCGTGGGTAAAACTTTCCAAGGGCGTTTTTACCCCATAGATTTCAATGCCCATAGGGGTTTCTTCAGCCAGATTGATGATCTCGGCCTGTAGTATCACCATGCCGATTTTGAAGAAAATCGTAGGGCCGCCCCATTGACCGAAAATTTTCATCTTGGGTAAACTTTACCCTGGATGGGGTAATGGGTAAATTTTACCCCACCATTTTGTTTAGGTTTTCATGGTATTTCATATGATACCCATATTGGGGGGATGCGTGCGATAGTCTTGCCAGAAATGCGTGGGTGAAACTTTCCAAGGGCGTTTTTACCCCATAGATTTCAATGCCCATAGGGGTTTCTTCAGCCAGATTGGTCATCTGGGCCTGTAGTATCAACATGCCGATTTTGAAGAAAATCGTAGGGGCCGCCCCATTGACCGAAAATTTTCATCTTGGGTAAACTTTACCCTGGATGGGGTAATGGGTAAATTTTACCCCACCATTTTGTTTGGGTTTTCATGGGCTTTCATATGATACCCATATTGGGGGGATGCGTGCGATAGTCTTGCCAGAAATGCGTGGGTAAAACATTCCAAGGGCGTTTTTACCCCATAGATTTCAATGCCCATAGGGGTTTCTTCAGCCAGATTGATGATCTCGGCCTGTAGTATCACCATGCCGATTTTGAAGAAAATCGTAGGGGCCGCCCCATTGACCGAAAATTTTCATCTTGGGTAAACTTTACCCTGGATGGGGTAATGGGTAAATTTTACCCCACCATTTTGTTTGGGTTTTCATGGGCTTTCATATGATACCCATATTGGGGGATGCGTGCGATACACTTGCCAGAAATGCGTGGGTAAAACTTTCCAAGGGCGTTTTTACCCCATAGATTTCAATGCCCATAGGGGTTTCTTCAGCCAGATTGATGAGCTCGGCCTGTAGTATCACCATGCCGATTTTTAAGAAAATCGTAGGGGCCGCCCCATTGACCGAAAATTTTCATCTTGGGTAAACTTTACCCTGGATGGGGTAATGGGTAAATTTTACCCCACCATTTTGTTTGGGTTTTCATGGGCTTTCATATGATACCCATATTGGGGGGATGCGTGCGATAGTCTTGCCAGAAATGCGTGGGTAAAACTTTCCAAGGGCGTTTTTACCCCATAGATTTCAATGCCCATAGGGGTTTCTTCAGCCAGATTGGTCATCTGGGCCTGTAGTATCAACATGCCGATTTTGAAGAAAATCGTAGGGGCCGCCCCATTGAACGAAAATTTTCATCTTGGGTAAACTTTACCCTGGATGGGGTAATGGGTAAATTTTACCCCACCATTTTGTTTGGGTTTTCATGAACTTTCATATGATACCCATATTGGGGGGATTCGTGCGATACACTTGTCAGAAATGCGTGGGTAAATTTTTCCAAGGGCGTTTTTACCCCATAGATTTCAATGCCCATAGGGGTTTCTTCAGCCAGATTGATCATCTCGGCCTGTAGTATCACCATGCCGATTTTGAAGAAAATCGTAGGGGCCGCCCCATTGACCGAAAATTTTCATCTTGGGTAAACTTTACCCTGGATGGGGTAATGGGTAAATTTTACCCCACCATTTTGTTTGGGTTTTCATGGGCTTTCATATGATACCCATATTGGGGGGATGCGTGCGATAGTCTTGCCAGAAATGCGTGGGTAAAACTTTCCAAGGGCGTTTTTACCCCATAGATTTCAATGCCCATAGGGGTTTCTTCAGCCAGATTGATCATCTCGGCCTGTAGTATCACCATGCCGATTTTGAAGAAAATCGTAAGGGCCGCCCCATTGACCGAAAATTTTCATTTTGGGTAAACTTTACCCTGAATGGGGTAATGGGTAAATTTTACCCCAACATTTTGTTTGGGTTTTCATGGGCTTTCATATGATACCCATATTGGGGGGATGCGTGCGATAGTCTTGCCAGAAATGCGTGGGTAAAACTTTCCAAGGGCGTTTTTACCCCATAGATTTCAATGCCCATAGGGGTTTCTTCAGCCAGATTGATCATCTGGGCCTGTAGTATCACCATGCCGATTTTGAAGAAAATCGTAGGGGCCGCCCCATTGACCGAAAATTTTCATCTTGGGTAAACTTTACCCTGGATGGGGTAGTGGGTAAATTTTACCCCACCATTTTGTTTGGGTTTTCATGAGCTTTCATATGATACCCATATTGGGGGGATGCGTGCGATACACTTGCCAGAAATGCGTGGGTAAAACTTTCCAAGGGCGTTTTTACCCCATAGATTTCAATGCCCATAGGGGTTTCTTCAGCCAGATTGATCATCTCGGCCTGTAGTATCACCATGCCGATTTTGAAGAAAATCGTAGGGGCCGCCCCATTGACCGAAAATTTTCATCTTGGGTAAACTTTACCCTGGATGGGGTAATGGGTAAATTTTACCCCACCATTTTGTTTGGGTTTTCATGGGCTTTCATATGATTCCCATATTGGGGGGATGCGTGCGATAGTCTTGCCAGAAATGCGTGGGTAAAACTTTCCAAGGGCGTTTTTACCCCATAGATTTCAATGCCCATAGGGGTTTCTTCAGCCAGATTGGTCATCTGGGCCTGTAGTATCACCATGCTGATTTTGAAGAAAATCGTAGGGGCCGCCCCATTGACCGAAAATTTTCATCTTGGGTAAACTTTACCCTTGATTGGGTAATGGGTAAATTTTACCCCACCATTTTGTTTGGGTTTTCATGGGCTTTCATATGATACCCATATTGGGGGGATGCGTGCGATACACTTGCCAGAAATACGTGGGTAAAACTTTCCAAGGGCGTTTTTACCCCATAGATTTCAATGCCCATAGGGGTTTCTTCAGCCAGATTGATCATCTCGGCCTGTAGTATCACCATGCCGATTTTGAAGAAAATCGTAGGGGCCGCCCCATTGACCGAAAATTTTCATCTTGGGTAAACTTTACCCTGGATGGGGTAGTGGGTAAATTTTACCCCACCATTTTGTTTGGGTTTTCATGGGCTTTCATATGATACCCATATTGGGGGATGCGTGCGATACACTTGCCAGAAATGCGTGGGTAAAACTTTGCAAGGGCGTTTTTACCCCATAGATTTCAATGCCCATAGGGGTTTCTTCAGCCAGATTGATGATCTCGGCCTGTAGTATCACCATGCCGATTTTGAAGAAAATCGTAGGGGCCGCCCCATTCACCGAAAATTTTCATCTTGGGTAAACTTTACCCTTGATTGGGTAATGGGTAAATTTTACCCCACCATTTTGTTTGGGTTTTCATGGGCTTTCATATGATACCCATTTTGGGGGGATGCGTGCGATACACTTGCCAGAAATGCGTGGGTAAAACTTTCCAAGAGCGTTTTTACCCCATAGATTTCAATGCCCATAGGGGTTTCTTCAGCCAGATTGATCATCTGGGCCTGTAGTATCACCATGCCGATTTTGAAGAAAATCGTAGGGGCCGCCCCATTGACCGAAAATTTTCATCCTGGTTAAATCATGCTTTTGGTTAAATTGATCCGGTATTTAACCATATCATTAGGTCCGGGGTAAAGAGATCTTTCAAATGGTGGTCTTATTTTTCAGTTTCGTCCAGCCGTTTAGGCGTAAAACGGTTTTTATATTTTTCCCTAGATTTCTAGATTTTTCCCTAGATTTCTAGATTTTTCCCTAGATTTGGCAGCCCCAATCTGGGCTGGGCCGAATGTGGGCTGAATGTGGGCTAACTTCCGTTACATGTTGAATTTGACCCCGATCGAAATTCAACTTTGCTACCACAGCATTTGGTAGTAATATGGAAGCTGATTATTCAATCGTTAATGACGCTCTTGAGACAAAATAGTTCGTAGCATAAACTTGCATAATCGGCATAATCCATGGATAAGAGAGACATATAAGACCAAGTATATAAACATAAGAGATACCAATCCATGCATAAACCAAGAATAAACATTGAAAGTCAAAGTACTCTACATTGACATATTTATTTCAATTTATATACTGTCACTGTGGACATATTTTTGCTGTTTTGCGAAGATAGATAGGTACCAAGATGGTGTACTGTGCTGCCTTGGCTGACACAGTTCGTATGGCATAATTGCGCCAGTATTTACTGGCACAATTATGCCATACTAACCGCAATTAATCATCCTAGAAATTGGTTAACACATTCCAATTCATACGCTCCTAAACAACTGTAAACTTCAAGCAGAAATACAAAAACAATCTAACCAGACCTAACTCAGTCGGGGAAACTATGGTAAAATCTGCTATTTTTAGCAGTCTGCTATTTTTAGCAGAAATCTGCTAAAAATGGGTACGCATGTGACGTCATCGTACCCAAATATAGCAGATTTGGGTACGGCCCCCGACAAAAGCAGATCTGCACCCTATTTGAAGCAAATGCGCATCAAATGCCTGGCAGATTCATGATAAGAATAGTGCTGAGAATGTCCTCTGATATTTTTGTTCAGATCCGACTATTTTCAAATAATGAATTTGAAAATAGTCGGATCTGAACAAAAATAGCAGAGAACACTCTCAGCACTATTCTCATCATGAATCTGCCAGGCATTTGATGCGCATTTGCTTCAATTAGGGTGCAGATCTGCTTTTGTATGGGGCCGTACCCAAATCTGCTATATTTGGGTACGATGACGTCACATGCGTACCCATTTTTAGCAGATTTCTGCTAAAAATAGCAGACTGCTAAAAATAGCAGATTTTACCATAGTTTCTCCGATTGAACTAGGTAGGTAATGTAACACAACCTTGCGTGGCTCAACAGGTGGTTGAGTATATTGATATGTGTTGTCATTGTCACTTTTCTTAGAAGCATGTCTGCTTTCCTTTCACATATTTATTTTGTGAATTTTTCCAGTTTTTATGGGTGGAAAGGGTAGTTGCCCTGTAGTTATTCAAATTGCAGTGTGCTGCATTTGCACTTGATTTTACTGTATTATGTCAACTTAAAACCACTAAGAAAAAAGTTATATTTTTTGCTGTTAGGGACTCCAACACCCCAAAAATAGGTAATCAATGTTGGATAGATGGCAATTTTTATTTTTGAACTAATATCTGTTCATCAATTCCGTTCTACATTGCCTGGCCTAAGAATAAGTCTAAAGGGCAGAATCAGAATGATATTGTGAATTGACCATGTGGCAGAAAATGTTAAAAAAATTGCATTTGGTTGACTTGGTTTCTCATCAGTAAACCCTCTTAAGCAATGAGGCTGGATGCAGATTGCAGTTAGACTGTGACTTTTTAGATGTTTTTGTGAAGGCTGAAGTCTTGCATCTATACCTATCCATTCACTTACCTGCTTTCACCATTTATGACTGTGTTGCAGAGTCCACCACATACAAATACAAATGCATGAGCAATAAGCATATCACATCTCATGGTCATGTGATAGCTGCTTGTGGCAGAAGCAAGTCACTAGAATGGGAGAGTGCCACAGAATGCGGCACTTGCCCCACAACTGCTTCGCCATGAGGAAGACGTGCCTCCAACTGCTTCAGGGATGCAGCCAACAGCAGCTTCTCTTCTGGAGAAACTACCTCACTGCTGACAGCCAACAGCAGAAATCACAGCAGCCTGAACTTCCACAGACCGTTCTATCCTTTCTGCTGCTCCTTTCCATTACTACAGTGCTCATTCTCGTCACCTGGCCATGCTTGCGTCAATCCCTGGGCACCAATCCCTGCCTCGTACCAAACAACTTCGCCCTCATGGAGACCACCCGGCCCATCTCCAGCTGCGACATCTGTTCAGCAGAGCTGCCCGTCCGCCTGCACCGTCCCGACCGCGCCGGGTTTGCCGCACACGCCTACCGCGGCCGGCCCGTGTTGGTAAGCGGCGCAACCGAGACATGGCCGGCGCGGCGGCGCGTCAACCTCTCCTTCTTACGTCGCCTGTACGCGCGAGTCGGCGCAAACGCTTCCTCTGTATCGGAGGACGGGTGCCAGTTCCTGGCGTTCCGCTCGCCGCTGGAGTCGCTGGAAGAGGTGCTGGAGGGCAGGGTGGAGGCCGCAGCGGATGGTCCGCCCTGGTATATCGGCTGGTGAGTAACCGATCAATAAGGGGGCAAAGGGGCAGACAGTGTTATTGCATACCTATATTGGGGAGGCACACTGGAAGGTGATGATTATGTTAGGTGGCATTTTTAGCTGACATATGTCTCACGAAGTGGAATTTCTTTTCATCTTTCTCTTCTGAAGCTGTGACTTTTACAACCAGCTATTCAGTCTTTTTATCCATGCCGTCACTCAAGCATACGCTCTGGACAATAACGCATTGCCCTCTGCCTGGCCGACTGTGCGTCACCACCCGATCAGACACCTGGACTGTCAACTATTCCCGTGACATGACACATTATGCCCTCTGGCGACCCCCACGGTACATAGAATACTAGGTAACACCGGTTTGTCCGCTCAACACGGGGCCAATGGTCACCACTTTCTTCAGCTGACATCTGTGACCTTGAGCTGACCTAGGATGATAAACAGCTGACAATTTAGGCCATTTGGAACTCACTTGACAGCTGAAGAGCGTGATTTAAAATATAAATGTTTGTCAGACACTGACAAAATATATTATTCACCAGTCATTTTTTAAGCACATTCTGTCATAAATTAGCTGACTCCCTCTGGTCTTCCACACGGCACAAAATTCAAGTGCAAATTCTGCAGTCTTGAAGTGAACCAAACGCATGGTCGTTTCTCTCAGAGCACAACGGGAACTGCGAGAAAACAAGAGAGAGTCGGACTCTACAAATGAATGAATTTGGAAGAAAAATAGCTGTATTTTTTACTGTAAAAATGTTGACTTTGAAAACATTGGCCATCAACTTTAAAATTGCCCCCAAATCTGAAAATGTGTGAATTGACAAAACAGGCGATCTTGCTGTTTTTGCCCAAGTTTGTTCATGTTTGAGAGAGATTCGATGCGAAAATGCACTGATATATACTTTTGTAAGCGAAGTCTCGATCAGTGTATTTATTTTGATTTTTAACTTAACGCTAGTCCCACTTTTCCTCCCAAGAAAATATTTTTGTCTATTTTTCAATAATTCTTTTATGCGTCATTGCTTTAAAAATAAAGAGAGTCGGACCGTAATTCTTTCAAGATGACTGACCGTGCTCAATATCTATCGGAATATATCAACAGATCGGCCAGACTCATTGGCTAAATATGTTAAAATTGCATTTTGCTTACTTTCTGCAGATTTTCCTGCAAAATTTTACTGTAGTGTATGCTGCGTTTCCTGCAGATTGTGTTCACAGACCAATGGAAGACAAGTATTTCTTCATCAACAGGTTCATTCGCCATCAATTGGTCTAGCGGGTGTTTTTCGCATGCGCATCTTATGTCACAGCTGCGTAAGAACACCTTCGCTATAAATCATTGTGGATATTCTTTTCGGAATATCAATATCACAGAATCAATATGTTTCGTAAGGTCTGTGGCGGCGTGATTATCGTCATTAACTAGTTACTGGATGAGATTTTAATGCGGGGTGGTGTAATGCCCGCACGACTGTTGACTTTCATTGTAATTGCCTGAGCTGGTTCCTGGGCCGCCTCAGATAGCAGTATGGTGTGTCGGGTGTGTCAAGTATCTTGACCTGACAGGAAGGTGGGTAACCTGACCCCTAGCTCAATATTAATCTCAGATGAAGCCCGTATATATGTCTTAGAGCTTGTTTAAGTTTTAAACTCACCTACATATAACCTAACATAACCTGAAATAACCAGACATGCTAGAACCCTAATTTTGGTCAAATGCAGATGAGCAGAAAAATATTATTTTTTTGACGATATTCCATGCCCACCTATGTCTGGACGAGGGTTTGTTGGTTACAGTGTAGATAAACTATGGTGAAGATAAAAAACATCATCTACCTTAGCCTAACCTTGCGTTCTAACCTACAACTTTTGGTAAATGTTCAGAAAGAGTCTGATTCACTTTTCAGGCATACATTTTGTACATTCTTACTCTATTTGACATCCTGAATCCAGATAGGCATGATATTTACATGTGACGCAAATACAAAACAAAAATCAAACCTTACCTAACCCCATGTTGCATATTCATATCAACTGTAAATCAGATATTTTTTTGAACAGATACCCATCTTTCATCCTTTCAGCATACATACAACCTACTATAAAGGTATCAACCTACCATTCATACTTTATCTACACATACATATTTATATGTGGGGTATGTTTTGTTCAGTAGGTTATAGTAGGTCGGGTGCCTACATGCTATCATTTGTCATGTGACATGCTTAGATTTCAGGTGGTGTCTTGTGGGCTTTATAGTGGGCTTTGTGGCTCTCTCTAAGTGCAAGGGTTAAGTGTTGATGCACATAATGCAATGTGTTTTTTTCCATGGGTGCAGGAGCCTCACGTAAAGTGTGGGGGGGGGGGGGCAGAGAACTTCAATGTCACTTTGTGGGAACACCAATACCCCTATGAACAAATTCTTTGCAGTTTTGTGCTCATCTCACCTTGTGGAACCATTTCTCCCTCTTAGTTTTGAATTTAAATGAAAAATAAATATTCTACTTTAAAAATTAGCTTAGCTGAAAAGTGGGGGCGTGCCCCCCCCCCCGCTCCTACGCCTATGTTTTTGTTTCTTAATGGTACAAATCATCCAGATTCATATGAGAAGGGTGGTTAGCTAGCTACAAAACCAATGCCTCAATTGTTAATTGTTTTCTTACAATAAGTCCCTCCTCTGCCAATCGCACTTAACTATCTACTGTCACAATGCAGTGTGTGTCATGATTTCTCAACTCTATGCATACAATATGTTTCCATTTGTCAATCACACATTGCTTTTTTTTACAGGCTTTTCGGTTATGACTGAGGCCGGCATCTCACCTGTCCTGGCTACGCCAAATCACTGCGGAATCGGATGCCGGATGCCGGGGACCGGGTCACCGGAGAGCCAACCGCTTTGAGGCTTGAGCTCTGTGGCGTGGCTCGAGTGATCACCAGGTTCTGACGGCTACGGCGCCGTCGACCTGGTTGAATAGCTGGGGCCTGAACGAGGGTGACCAGTACGGTGGCCAATCGGTTACGTCCGAGGGGCGCTCGACCACGCTGCCGTCGCGTGGCTGCCGGCGGCCGCCCCCCTCGCACGTGGATCTCCTGGAGCGAGTACTGTGAGAGGCGGCCGCATCATCACCTGTGTCCGCGCTCAACACCGTGCCACGCACTAATGGCGGAAGCCCGACTTTCTCCGATGGAGGAGAGAAGCTGGACGCCGGCTGCCAGGCTGCTGGGGAGGGCGCTGGCTCTGCCATCAGGGGACCCCCTACGCGCGACCGCCGAGGCCTCGGCACCGGCGCGCCTGTCTTCGGTTCGAGGCTGGAGATTGCGAGGCCGCCAGGCCTGGGCGAGAGCGAGAATCCCACCGTGGCACCAGACGACTGGCGTCACCTTCCGGTTGGACGTGTGCCCGATCCGGGCTGGGGCCACGGCGGCGGAAAGGGAAAGCGTGGCTACGCTGCACTTCGCGTCCCTGCCCCTGTGTGCTGTCGGGTTTTGGACGGACGGATCTGCGGGGGGCGGAGTCTTCAGGCGCTGGGCGGGAGCCGTGCTGGTCAGGCTGGACGAAGAGGCCGAGGAACTGCGGGCCCCGGCCGGAGAGCTGTGCTATAGCTACCGCGCGGAGATGGTGGCGCTGGTGACCGGTCCGGAGACCCTACTCGGAAGAGACAGAGACCCGAGGGCTGTTCACGGGCCCTGTGTGCGGTCGGACCGCACACAGCCTCGAAGCTCCGCCCACTGCGTCCCCACGTCAGCCTTCCGTCACCGCACACAGCGATCGCTGTGGCCGGTCGGGACTGGCCACAGCGGACCGTCCACCGCACGCAGCCGTGACGTCAGAGCCGCCTACCCATCCCCTACCCCCACGCCTGCTGGACGCACCGCACACACCGCACGCAGCAGTGTGCGGTGCCCGTGAACACCCCTCAGGACCTGTGTTCCGTAACTATCTGCTAACTGTGCGGTGGTGCTGGTGTAGTGCGGCATTTTTGGATGGATAGCTACATTTCACGATTAAATAGCTGTTACGTTTCAGTGCAGGTGGCGTGACGAACAATGTGGTATATGTTGGCCACTTCTGCGGCCGCTGCTATATCCTAATCGAAGGCGGGCGCGCTGTTTGGCTGGGCCGGCAGAATGTTCCCATTATGTGTCGAGGACAAAGCGAGTATATTCATGTTCTTTTAATACACAGAGGTCTGTTGTATATTTGTCTGAAGTTTTATTTTAAGTTGACGGTTGCGTAGGGCAGATTCATCTTCTCTCTTTCATTTTTGTTGCCACTTAAGCGTTCATGTTTCTTATAAGTGTTTTCTTATAAGTGTCCTGGTCCGGCTTGGTTGTCATCTTTATTCGTGACGTATTTTATTTTAGGAACATGCTGGTGATCAATGCAATACACTTTTGGTTAATAATGCTGCCTTAGCTCTGATCTTTTTTTATTTAGGCCTCCCTCCAACGGGCTCTGGTTGTCCCATTTACAGGAGGGCTCCTCCTCCCGGCCCTTTGTGGTATGTCTTGATTGTACGACTGCGATAGTGATTTTTCCTCACCAAAATATGCTGGTAACCAATGTAAATGCTGCCAAAAGTTTGTCATTACGTGATGTGTCTAAAAAAAACATCAAGTTCCTGAACGTGGTCGTGTACTACGTAACCGGAAACTCAATAGGACGTGGAATTCTGTGAAGCAAAACTACAGAAGTGAGGCTGGTCACGCCAAAATCAGGTGAGGTATGTCTAGCCTTTCTTCCGCCGCCAAGGCTTCGACAGACTATCCCCGGGCTCGGTGTCTCTCGAACTCCGAAGATTCAACGTCGTCCGGCCAATCCTGGTTAAGGTCAGCGGGGGCTTAGCTGTGGTTATGGAACAGGATTGGCCGTCTGAGAGACTCCGAACCTGGGGTATGTTGCAGCACAGCTATGTCGACAGAGTGTCGTCGCAAGCTGCCCCACTCGACGAGAAGAATAAAAACCGCCCCGTCCTAGGCTGACTAGGCTTAGCTAGGTGGCAGCACAGTCGCGCCGGCAGGGGGCAGTGCCACAACCAGCCGACTGATATTTTCGTGTGACGTCAGAACCGGTGCCTCCCTGGCGACCCCTAATGCAGACTTCCCCGCCCTCTGGAGACCATTGACGACTGATCGCTCCACCCTCCGCTAAGTCCTGACCCGGCCTGCCCTCTGGTGACCATTACTGGCTATCCTGTACTGCCATCTGGTGAGCCCTCGTGTCGACTCCCCTATCCTCTGCTAAGATCTCGACCCCAGACCATGTCCTCAAACAACTCTTGTTCCCACTGCCCCCACCACCCTCCTGTGACCCCCATGTCTCCCCTCTCGTCATCCACAGGAGTAACTGCGACCCGCGCGTGGCCGCCATGCTGCGCGGTCTGTACAGCTGGCCCGAGCTCCTGCCAGAGGAGGGAGAGGGCTCAGCGGTGGACTGGATCTTCATGGGCACGCCCGGACAGGGCACGGCAGTGCACGTGAGTGGACGGCTAGACAGGGGTTAGGGGCAGCGGGTAGGAGTAGGAGGCAGGAGACAGATACTAGTGTCAGGACTAGGAGACAGGATCATGAGACGGGAGACAGGAGTTATTTAGCATTGGGAGACAGTTGTAGGACTGGTAGTCAAGAGACAGGAGAATCAGCTGTTCAATTATCAGTTGGCAGTAGCAGGAGACAGGAGCAGGATCAGGAGTGAGAAGTCGAACAGATGGATTATGGGACAGGAGGCATGATCGGAGGTCATTATCAGGTATCAGTATGAGGACGTATGAGAGTCATCAGGTGTCGGAATCGGCTTGGTCGAGAGACAATCGTGCGAGTACAGTTTTGAATTTCGCTCTATTTTGCTTGGTAGTTGGCGATGTAGCTTTGTCCAATTCATTTTTCACAGGGTTGACACTGTACATGGACAACCGCACAAGACTGCAATCCCCCCGCCCGCGATCCAAGATCGAGCATTGAACAGTGTGCCATTTGCCTTTAAAATATAATGGTGTAATATCAGTGGCATAACTCGTTTACTCGTGCAATCTTATTATAGTACTGCGTGGCATAAATTTTACATTTTTGTCAGGTTCGAATTTATGAGCCCTTGCAGTATCACGAAACTGCTGCAAGTGTCATTGCAATGATAGACGCTGCCTGACGCAAGTGGTTTGCATCGATTTCTAATTATTTTAGCTTTGTTCGCGTTTCGCTTTTACGGCATCAGCTATCATCGTTCATATCAATAGACACTCGATGCAAATATTCCGTACATGATTTGAACGTCAACGCCATTTATGGACGTTTGACTTTCTCCCAACCAATGCTGGTTAACTATTGATGAATGATTGAATCGCATCGACCCGACGGTCTTAGAGCCGAAGTTATCGCCGTAACCATGCAAAGCTGGACTTTTCTAGGGCGATATGAAGGCTGGCATCATTATCATTCGTCTGTTTTATCGTCGCATTTCTACTCGTACTAGCCATAAAGGCGACAAAATGTGCTACGACGATGACTTTGGCTTGGAAATATTCGTGTCATGCAACGCTTCCATTAGAGATTGCGGAGTAGAATATGGGAACCGCCACGGTCCAACTGTGCGACAAAGGACGCCAACCTATGATCGTAGCAGTGCCATTTCGAGTTCCAACCGATTGAATGCAGGGTTTATAGTGTCGAACTGGTCATACCACGTCAGTGGAGCGTCATCAAACCATGAGCTGCAATAAGGGGATAATTTGACGGTCGTAGGGCCTGCATAAAACTTTAATCTGTTTCAGGACAAATTGCTGGTCTACTTTTGTTTCGACATTTTGTTCGTGCTTTTAGCTGTTTCCATGTTGTTAACCGAGAACGTACTTCGGCCTTCGCCATCCAACCCTACTGAGTGGATCCCCACACAAAATCTTTCATTCAGCCATAGGGAAATTGCTAATTGCCATTCCTTTGGTGCTTCTTCGGTGCGCCATTTAGGTTTCGGACATTGGATACTACTGGCAGGAAATGCTGTCAGTCACAGAGGTTGTCGTCATAGTTTGAAAACGGCGTCAGATGATGCTTTGGATAATGGATTATTTGGGAATCGGCTTCGGTGGTAATCGCGGACTTCAGATATTGAACCGATTGCTGAGACTGAATGCGAGACGCTTTAAAATGCCCTTTGCTGTAAAATGTGTTATTATTTCTCATGTCTTTGAGCAGGTGACCGTAAAAAGTGAAACGTTTCACTCAGAACAGAGTTAAATGTCGTAAAGATACTATCATCGCTTGCCACCTCTATGTATTATGCAATTACGTCGTAGGCAGTTTCATTACAACAGAACCTACTCCAAATGCATCGTTTTCAAGGCCTCGCCGTTTGATGGCTTAGCTTTTCAAACGACGATTTAGTGCTCGGCCTACATCCGTGGAACATGGCAAAGTCACTTCACACATTCTGATTTCTGGGCACACCTTAAGCATTAACCCTCGCATGTGTAGGGGGGGGGGGTCGGATGGACCCCCCCCCCATGGTTTTTCGCAAATAACTCGCGTAAAAAGCGGCCGATCGCGACGAAACTTTCAGTACCCTCGCATTGATCAATTTGACACCTACCCTGAAAATTTCATGACCCTGACCCAAATGACCTTTGACCTGTGACCTCTTTTCCGAGACCATGTTTGGCCGGAATCGCGATTTCGCGTATGTCGGCTCGCACTAGCCGCGTGTTTGCAAGCTTTTCGTGGTTTCAAACGTTCAAACATGTGATTTGATGTTACTCCCGTGTGTGTCAAGGTCACCTGAAGGTCAGGTCAGGTCATTGACCTTTGGTGACCTCGGGTGACCTCGGGTCACTTTTTCGAGTTTTACATGTTTCTAGGCTAGTTTTTGGAGCTGAATTCGAATTTAGCAACCATTTGAACATTTACGAAGTAGTTTTGGTGACTTCGTAACATGTTACGAAGCTGTCAGAGGCGGTTGACACGTACTACGAATACCCGTCACGACGCCTATTGGTTGACCTGACCTGACCTGACCCGACCTGGTCTAAATGCTTCAAGACATCATCTGTGATCAAAACTAACACGATATTCGTGATCAGCACCCCGAAAAGCCCCTAAGCAGCCACACTTTACGACTTTCTAACAGGTCCCGATTTTCCCGACTTTGGGTCATTGACCTGACCTGGAAGGTCAACCAATGACCTAGGACCTTAAAATCGGGTATCATCGGCTTCCTCTCGTCACGGGCAACACGCTCGTTTTTTCCGCGAAGCTCTAGCTCGATCAGTGGCCAAACGGCAAGGGGGGGGTCCAACCGACCCCCCCCCCCCCACACATTAGAAGCTGGCAAACGCCGCACACATGCGAGGGTTAACAACCTAATTTAACCCGTTAGTGACATGGCATGATCTAAATAAGATGTCACATGACACGACTGATGGTCAAATGTCGCGATCAACTCACGATCAAGGCCATATATAGGCCTTTGTATATAGGCCTTTGTAAATAGGCCTTTGTATATAGGCCTTTGTAAATAGGCCTTTGTATATAGGCCTTTGTATACAGGCCTTTTATATAGGCCAAGGCCATATAGGCAGAGGTGGAACTTTTTGTTTTTCATTGGGGTTGTAGTTTGCCGGAGCCCAGGGTATACCCCCACCAAAACCCGAAAAGTCCCCGGATTCGGCCCACTATTTTTCGGGAGGGGCCCACATTTTCAGTTACAAAAAAAATAATAAATAAAATAAAAGTGGTCCATCTCCAGGGAGAGACGGCTGACCCTGTCGTCCCTCCATTGGCTATGTGCCTGGTTGTAGGTACTCGGGTATCGCCAGTCGCCACCATGGTCGTGGCCATAGGCGGCGGAACGGGGAGGGCACCGGGGAACCGTGCCCCCTTTGATTTTGGCATTTTAACATTAGCCCTATGGGCGTTGCATGGAAAGAATGGGATCAAAAGTCGACAGTGCCCCCCTTAATTGAGGGTGTTCCGCCGCTAGGTACTGGTCGTAGCGATTCGGAAACGGTAGGTAAACGCCCAAAATCACAGTCCCTATGAATACTTGCTTCTTTCCACATTTGACACAAACATTACTCAGTATTGGAGCAGGGCTCTTTCCCTACGAGTAACAATTTAATCCACTCGTGGCAATTGACAACGAAGACCTAAACAGGAATACGTTATTTTTAGACTAAAAAACTTAAAACGAGTCCATCTTTGTATATTAATGCCACTGTCGTCTGGAACACGTCTATTACGGAAACGGGTAGTATAAACCGGAATAGTGACTGATCAGCAGACATGTGCACGGATCCCAGACAACCAATCACGGAAATCGAGATGGCCATTAGATTGACGGTCTTCAAGCATGAAATTATGGTGGAAAACATGGCTAATAGAAGCCTCTCAACGAACCAACTATTTTGCATTCCTTCAGGGTTAACAGTTCTGAGAAAATCCCTCAAGATCCATCTCGGATCCATGATTCGTGGCCATGGATCCGAGATGGATCTTGAGGGATTTTCTCAAAACTGTGAACTCTGAGGGAATGCAAAATAGGAGTCGGTTCGTTGAGAGGCATCTATTAGCCATGTTTTCCACCATAATTCCATGCTTAACGTCCACTAATCTAGTGGCCATCTTGATTTTCGTGTTTGGTCGTCTGGGATCCGTGCCCATGTCTGCTGATCAGACATGAGATATTTTGCAAACGAGGACAACATACCGAACACAATGCCGCAAAGGAACATAACACTGGATCTAACTTATCTCAACCTGAGGAAACTAAATAATAAATGCCACAGCCTTTTCATATCACCGAATACTTCAATTAACTAGATGATCTTCTTTTTTTCAACGAGCAAATGTATTATGCATTGTTTGGCGAATCGTAAACAAAACGCATACTCTTCACAGCCACGATGGCTTGGAACACATAGCAGCTTGTTTGTCTGCCCCTGAGACACTGAACGTATATACACCGATTTTCAGCTAAATCGAAAGACCCCGCCGTTTACCGTTAAAATGTTAGTTGGTCGTTAATTCGTTAACGGTGCAAAATATCACCCCAACGAGGCACATTTTCGGAATCAGCGCATCGAGGAGGCCCTGTATACCGATTTTCAGCTAAATCGAAAGACCACGCCGTTTCCCATTAAAATGTTAATTGGTCGTTAACTCGTTAACGGTGCAAAATACCACCACAAAGAGGTACATTTTCGGAATCAGCGCATCGAGGAGGCCCTGTATACCGATTTTCAGCCAAATCGAAAGACGCCGCCGTTTCCCGTTAAAATGTTAATTGGTCGTTAACTCGTTAACGGTGCAAAACACTACCTCAAAGAAGTACATTTTCGGAATCAGCGCATCAAACAGGCCCTGTATACCAATTTTCAGCTAAATCGAAAGACCCCGCCGTTTCCGGTTAAAATGTTAATTAGCCGTTAACTCGTTAACGGTGCAAAATACTGCCCCAAAGAGGTACATTTTCGGAATCAGCGCATCAAGGAGGCCCTGTATACCGATTTTCAGCTAAATCGAAAGAACCCACCGTTTCCCATTAAAATGTTAGTTGGTCGTTAAATCGGTTACGGTGCAAAATACCACCCCAAAAAGGTACATTTTCGGAATCAGCACATCGAGGAGGCCCTGTACACCGATTTTCAGCTAAATCGAAAGACCCCGCCGTTTCCCGTTAAAATGTTAATTGGTCATTAACTCGTTAACGGTGCAAAATACCACCCCAAAGAGGCATATTTTCGGAATCAGCGCATCGAGGAGGCTCTGGATACCGATTTTCAGCCAAATTGAAAGACCCCGAAATATGCTGCTGTGAGGCTGATATTTGTTGCTGCTGATTTGACAGACGTCGCCAAAATCTTGCATTTGTATCAAATGCGTCATGCTGGCTTACATGTGACTAACCCCGCGTTCGATGTCTCCCGGACGACGAAGATTCTATGCCGTCCGGGCCCAAAATGCCGTTCGATGTCGCGCGGACGGCAAAGATTCTACGTGACGTCACGTAGAATCTTTGCCGTCCGCGCAGAATCTTTTGAGCGTACTACGGTGGGCAGAGAGGCAATGATGGCGCGTATTTCAAAAGCGGCGCAGCAGCTGTTTGCAGAAGTTGTTGACATTTGTGCGCGGTTTCTATGGAAACGTAAACTTGGGCCTTTTTCGAGACTGACGCACATTGTGAAGTGGCGCACAAAATGGCCGGTCTCGTCGTCCGACTGTGTGCTTCATCGAACGCAAAATAGAATATTCTGCGTAGAATGTTCTTCGTCCGAGGAGACATCGAACGCGGCCTTAGTTTGCATCGTTTGCATTCTGTTCGCGAACCTGTCAGTAAGATTATCAGCACTAATCATCGCACAGGATTGGTTTTTACTTTTTATGGTCGTCAACGTTGATTTCAAGTGTCGTCATTTTAGCCAAATATTCGTGCTGATTGGTGGTATTGTGCCAACTGACAAAATTGCGAACAGAGTGATATTTCACTTAAAGGGACCCTCCCACCTTCAAAAAAGTTTATGAAATGGCATGAAAGTGATGTCGCTCGGTTCAGAAAGAGCGAAAACGAATATCTACCAAATTTCACCGAAAAATATTCACCGGTTTTCAAGATATTAGACTTTTACTTTTGTTTACTTTTTTGGGATCTCCGACGTCTGTCTCCGCTGTTTCTAGCGACTTTATTTTAGAAGTGCGGCGTTTGCGGCAGATGTTGCGCGCAAATAGCATATACCACCGCGTGCTACAAAACGTTTTAGTCAAACATTTAAAAATCGTTAGATATCTGCGCTGACGTCACACATTCAGAGGGGTATTCCTAAGCATTAGCCCATCTGAATCAAAATGCTGCAATTTTGAAATTCAATATTTCCGATTTAAGGCATTTCTCGATGTTGTGAGTGCCGAAACCGGAAATTGTGAGCCAGGGACCCCATTTTGGCTATCTCAACTTAAATCTAATGTTAAGGTGGGAGGGTCCCTTTAAGAAATGTATTTGATATTATGATTATGGTGATTGAATGCTACATAGGATGGAGGCTTAGGTTATGTTAATTTATTTCTGAAGCTTGCTGTTTTGTGTCAAACTTTTCATCTATGCTTATCTCTTTGATAAGCACAGCCCACAGGTATGAAATATTTAGTGAGAAAACCCAAAAGTACAGTGGCGGATCAGGATTCAGGGGGGGGGGGGCAAAATGGGCATTTGCCCCTCCCAAACGGCATAATTTTAAAGGAAAAGGGCCACCTTCGTGAAATATGAAGATATCGTTGTTTTTCATTTTGACATTATTATTTTTCATTTTCTTTTTAAAACTGGTGCCAGAAGTGCACAATTCGCGAAAAAGTATTTAAAACTATTTAACATATTGGTACTATGTTGATACTCTCTACGGCACCTACTGTATGATGGCATAGCGATGACGTCACACTCAAGCCAATCAGCGTTCAGAAGACAGACTCGTCGGATTGTGTCAGATAAGCTGATTGGTTAAAGCTGAGCTGGTTGGAGCTGATTGGTAAAAAACCAAAGCCTCGCCGCGGGTGGCTGTATTGTCGGATAAGAACGCATTCCTGGGATAAGGACGCATTCCTGGCGTATTTTCTTTTAAAATTGCCGATAACTACGAATGGAGGCCGAAATCGGCCGTAAGGAGGTAGACAGATAGGTTTTCGGACACGGGCTACAAGATGGCTATCTCAGTTTCAATCCCCATGTTAAAGGTGGCCCTTTTCCTTTAATATTACGCCTATGGACGAGGCATGGAAAGAATCGTTAATTATTATGGTTTGCACTTTGCCCCCCCCCCCCAAACTCTGAGCTGGATTCGCCACTGCAAAAGTATGATGAATGTTATGATTTTTTTTTTTTTGCTTCACACTTTCATGTTACACGTTAAGATTTTTTGGAACACTTTCAATATGATTCACTTAGTATGCTTAAGAAGTGTGAAGTGATTGACTTTCATATCATGCTCTGCTCACTGTCTCAGCGGAATAATATGTTCTTAACAGAGCACTTTCAATGTTTTTAGCATCTGGAATTCAAAAAGATGTCCTAATTTATTGATATCTTCACTTTCTTGATATATCTCAATTATCTGCTTCTGAAGGGATACATATTTTGTTCATTTTCATGTGTTTCAGGCTATTTCTTAATTTTCCAATGTTGGGGTTGTAGTTTTGCCATTGGGGTTGTACTTTTAAAAATTGGGGTTGTAGCTACACCCCCCACAGTATATAAAGTTCCGCATGTGCATATAGGCCATATATAGGCCGCTCGCCGCTCACGATCTTTAAATTCACCGTATCGCCAAAATCGCGCACTTGCCTTCTTTTCCCGCAATCTCGTGCTTTTCTTCACTCAGCTCTCCCTTGTCTGCAGATTGACAACGTGCACCGTCCGTCGTGGCAGGCACAGATCGCTGGGTCCAAACGCTGGCGTCTCTTTCCACCTCCCGAGTGTGAGAAAGTCTGCCGGCCGATCACCGTGGACGTCCACCCGGGCGATATATGTGAGTTCGGGCGATATTTGTGAGTTCGGGCGATGTATGTGAGCGATGAGCATGTGAGATACGCATGAGCACGGGAGTGAATGTGAGAATGGGAGATAAATGTGAGTTCGGGTGATGTGAGATGTGTGTGAGCATGGGCGATCGATGTGAGAGCATAGGTGATATATGTGAGAACGAAAGATATGTGTACAAACTGTACATGTACGTGTATTGTGTAAACGGCGATATGGGCGTTAATTTAAGCACGAGCGATGCATGTGAGAATGGGCTACATGTGTAGGTATTGGCGATGTATGTGATATATTGATATGTCGTTGTTTAATCTCAAATGTCAGTTAATACAAACGTGGACAAAAGTAGATCCGACAAAATTTCCAAAAGAGTTCGCCATATGCGATCCTTTCCTACCGTTTACGTGTCTTCCTGAGTATCATACCATTTTTACTTTTTCACTACGCCGCACCGGCAAATTCCAGAGCCTTGCGCCATCCAGTGCCGTGCTATAGCACACTACCCTGGCAGCATTCCCAGTCAGCGTGGTCGATACTTTCCGGTACCTCCGCTCGAGGAGCGATCTCGTGCCACTCAGCCATAACAGGGCCCGCCCCGAGGTCGGAACAGGACGATCGTGGCCCGTGGCGTACCTAAAGGCACCAGGCCACCGCGTCCCCAGTGTAATTGGCGCATATCCCGTACTCGGTAACTCCAATAGGTGTCGACATCACAATTGTTCAGGCTTGCCGCAAGGGCTTGCGGAGTCTGAGCCGGTTAGAGTCGACAGTTCTGACCAGAGTCGGAGAAGGAATGGATTTCTGATGTCGGAGTCGGAGTCACCGAAAATCCATCGACTCCGCGGACTTACGAGGACTGCGGAGTCGGAGCTGGAGTTGATTTTTTGGAAGCCGGAGTCGGGGTGAGAGTCCCCGAAAATCCATCGACTCCGCAGCCCTGTTTGGCGCCGTCGCCAAAGCTGTTGTATCGTAATGTATACCAAAACGTAATTGGATTTAACCAAGAACGGTAGGGCTTATATTCAATCTAAGTTTCTTCTCTTTTTCGGTTTTACGAATGGAAGTTATCCTATCATTTCCGGATATCCAATGATATCTTCCCAAATTTGGCGCTTTTCTAATATGCGTCTTTTTCGAAATTGACTGTTGCGGCATGAGAGAAGGATGCAGGCACTCGATTCAAATTCTAACCCGAGTAACGAAGATTGCAAACAAATGTCATGTAATTGTACACAAACACGTCATAAAGCTGTAACACGTCTGTAACACTGTGTAAACACGTCATAAAGCTGTACAGTGGTGACTGTAAAAAAGCATTGGTACCGATTAAGGATCGTAACGCCACAATGCCGATAATGCCCGCTTGTTTCAACGTTCGATACTTATTTGCCACGCATATTTGTCATTTTATGCTTCCAGCTATGCAACTGATTTTGCTCTATTTTTCTTTGTGTTGCTGTTTCGTTATTTAGCTTCAAGAGTTCCAAATGTTCGACATAAATCAGATGCAGTCGGTTGTTGCAGCTAAGGCGAAATACCACCTTTATGTTTTCTGCTCGTTCGGAGACTGTGTTGGTTTTTTTGTGCCATTTCATGCAATGGGACCGTATCTAATTGCGGGCTATTCAGTTTGTTTCAAGTTATGCCCGGCGAACGGGTTTTATTGTTATGGGCTTGTTTCATGCATTTGGCCAATGTGGCTCACGGGGGTTTTATTTATTTATTAAATACTATCAGCCTCGTTAACGGTTTTATTTCTTTATTTAAGTCCACCGCATTGTGTTTTCCGTTTTTTTTTTTTTTTTTTGTTCTGCGCCGTGGTATAGTCGCAACTTTAGGTACTAGGGATACGGAGGTGACCAATTGTTATTATTACAACCAGCCAAACGTAAAGCACAAGGAAATTAAATTCGGTTTAATCACGACGCTCGGCTCGTAACTACGCTCGGTCTCATTCCTTTATTTAACTTGCCGTGAAACTGTATCGAATATTGCGTCTGTTCACCTTTCTATCATTTTTTTTTGTCAGCCATTCTTTCCCTACGCCTGCGTGGATGTTTTGACCTGCTTTGGTTTTACCGACGCCAGTGAAGTGACGATGTGCGTTTATTTTCAGTTCTGCTTGATACCAACCAGTGGTATCACGGCACCGAGGTCATCGGTAGAGAAATGTCCATCACCATTGGTTCAGAGTACGACTGAGCCGACAAATGTGAGACATTTAGTCGTTGCAGATGTGGAGAAGAATTGTGGCATCATTGGTGGCAAGTGTCTTTCGGTGGAGCCTTTTTCACCGCTCGTCGCTGCTGTCTCACTGTGTGTTGTGAAATTTGTACCACTATTGATGCTGTAGAGCATACGCCCTGCGTTGTTCGAAGCTTTTGAGCCTGTGCGATCCTTTTTTGTACCGCCGTTCCTGCTCTAAATATCTCGCATATGCCTATATTATTCATTGCACAATGCACATGAAAGGAAAGTATCTCAAGAGTATCAGTATTGATTGCGCGCTAAGCGGCTTCAAGCGCTATACTAGGCTAGATGTTATATTTTACCAACTGCGTTTCCGAACGTTGTGACGCTTGTTATACAATATTGCTATGCAACAACTACAATAAGATTCAGAAAGGTGATCTGATGCACCAATCTCATAACCCCCAAAAGGGGCCAAAGGACCAAGTGCTAAGTCCTATTTATCTGTAGCAGCCTGGTCCGTTTTAACACTGCTCTAGTCCCTCGAGTCATTTTATGCAATGTGATAAATTCGTTTAGAAGAATGCTGGATGAAATGCGCGAAATGTACTGCATTGCCGGCAATATGCCTATTGTTTGTTGTGGTTCTCATTGGGAAACTGAGGGTAGCTAGGCCGTTTGGTTCCAAGGCATACATTGTCAGAACATATTGCATTATGACTAGCCATTATGCCTGTCATCAAATACGCCGGCGTGACCGTTATATCGTCTTCCATTGTACCCAACATCGGACAAAGAACGGCATGTGAAATGGTCATTAGCAGGTTACTTTCATCTAGCATTTTAGCTTAACTTCGCGGTAGCTTGCTGTAGTTTTTATGACATGTAGTGCATATTTTCAATGTTGCACTGATGACTGCTATGAACGTATGTTATTTGCGCGCTATAGAAAAGTCAAGATACGAGTCCTAATATCGCTGCCGTGTTATTATGCTAATGTTTCTCGCATGTTTAGGGCGGCTTTGAGGCGCGAATTACGCTTGCAACGCCAACGAAGCCTCTGTTAAAGCGTTTACTAGCACAGCAATGTTTGCTGCCGCCTGCATTATTTAAGCACTTCCGTATTATTTTTCTAGTCACAAGTTGCACGACCTTGTGTATGAACCCACCGTCCAATGACATCTGTATTGTCTAGTCTTCCGCTGCAAAGCACAAGTCGTTTGCTGAGCTTCCTGGCGTCAATTTCTGTGACGTTCTGTGATTGTGTTACCGTCACATTTGTAACTGTTGGGGTGACTGTTTGGCTTGATAAAGCGCAGAAATAAAACTCATGTATGTCAAATGTTACCCTTGTATTTTCCGTTCTGAGTTCGAGATCGAGACGATGTTTTTAGGGCAGAAAGGCTAGTCACAACTCACACCGCAAAGCTTCGGAGCTGACAGAACTTTTGCAGGTGTGTAGGTATCGTAAGAATTCCACTTGTTTGCTGAGATTGGAGTTGAAGGTTACCAGAAGTGGAGCCAGCTATTTTTGTGTTTATTGTTTTGTGTTGGTTTCATTTCTTATTCATTATTAAATCATATACCTCTCGATCTTTCTATTGCCATCTGACTATAACCCGGCCCTCGTCAGGGGGCAAGTATTTATGGGGAGGGGGAGGCAGATAACCTCTAGGGGGAGGAAGGTATCCAGTAGGGGGAGGCAGGTAGTGTTTTTGAAGCACGTGGTGGGCTGTCTGCGGCGTCAGAGCAGAGCCTCGGGCTATATCCCTCGGCACGGAGGGCTGGGCGGCCGCACCTCTGAGAGGGTCGCCAGCAGCCAGCGACGGGAATGTCTCAGTCGGGACTTTGTTGAAGCCCTGCTGGGGAGTCTCCAACCCTGGAAGCGTGTTCGTCGCTGTCTTGGACGCTCCTGGCTCCGGCTGTGTGGGTTTCACGTTTGCATGGGTGTCATCCTTGTGAGCATGCTCTTGGTTCGGTACTCCCTGTGTTCCATAAGCCTTCATCAACCTCAGAAACTCTTCAACAGCTTGTTCCGCCGACGAGTTGGCCTGATACACCTCCCCGGGTCGGACCTGCCACGGCCAGCGGCACTCGCTTCCCTCGTGGCACGCGCTGCTGACGCACACCTCGCCGAACTGGCAGTAGCGGTGGCAGCACCACTGCCCCCAGTGGCGCACACCGTCCGGGTACCGACAGCAGTGGCCGGCACCGCAGGGCTCGCACACCTCCGGCGCGGCGCAGGCCGGACGGCACAGGCCCTTGGCTGGAACGGAGGCGGCGGCGGGGGTTAGAATGGAGATGTCGTGGAGAGGTGGGGCGAAGAAAGCTAAAGAGATGCACAAAAGATGGGGAAATCATGGTAAATTCGTACTGTAGAGACGCCACGTATGACAATTTCCATAAACTATGTACTTTACTACTGCATTATAGAATCAACGTGCCTGATCGCCTCCTGTTTTTTTTTTTTTTTTGCTACAAAATATCACAAGCTGTTAAAAAGCAAGAGTACAGAACGACTACAACCTAAGAACGACACGAGCTAAACCATTTTTTTTATACATGCTCTTCAAATACAATCTATCATCGCATGTTGCTGTAAAACAGCTTCTATAACCTCTCTCCCCCTTATTTGATCCAAATTACGAACATCCCCACCAATTTCGACTCGTTATTTGGTCCCGGATCTGCAGCCCTGAGACTTTCTGTGACCACCTGTAATCTGTATCCGTCTCAGGCGGTCTGGCCCGTCACCAATCTGTGTGAGATCTGCCTAGAACAATGTCGGCCCTGTGTACAATCCGACAGGGACACTGGTAGAGCGTCATGTTTGCGGTTGGGTTGGTCGGGCGGCCATGAGATTCCGTGTGAGGACTGAGGAGCCAATACCATGAACGGCACCTTTTACGAATGGCATCTCAGGGTTATTATCATAGGCGGCGGAACGGGGAGGGCACCAGGGCACCGTGCCCCCTTTGATTTTGACATTTTAACATTAGCTCATGGGCGTTGCATGGAAAGAATGGGACCATAAGTCGGCAGTGCACCCCCCCCCCCCCTTAATTGAAGGTGTTCCGCCGCTACTGGTTATTATTATTCTTTGTCAAACTAGAATGTTTTCTAATTGTAGGCGGTTGTATTTTAATGATAACGGATAACGTTGAAATTAAATGCTCTGTAGAATTCGTAACCACGATGCCAGAAACTGGGACACAAATGGTACCGGGCAAACAAAAGCTTTTGGGATCTAAAAGAACGTTTACATTTTGCTCAATTGTTTGAGCTTCCTTCCAAAAGGCTGGACTGCAATGAAAACATGGTTATGCCGTTTTTGTCGTTCGCTGAGTGCGAAATATTATCCTTGGCATTTAGTTAAAAAATTCGACATTAAGTGGGTAGCCAAATTAAAGATGACAACCATGGTTCGTCAAACACTTGGTGCGCTGCTTGCTGAACAGGGTTTGACACATTGCTTACACATCGTGTATGGCCGGACGATTGTGACTTATGAGGTCCTGGGAGTCATCCATTTCCAGGGAAGTTACTCTGTCGCCATGGAAGACGTTTTACAGAACAAGATCAATACATACCTGCCTACAGCATAACCAGATTTAATTTGTTACCGGCCACACTTCACCGCCTTAGCAGTTCTCGACTCTGCACTTTCATTGTCGGCTTGTCACGCTACAAGCTAATTCTTTCTGTTCTTTTTGTTTTAAATCATTCATATGAAGTCTTGAGAATGCAATCCTATCAATCTAGAAATTAGGATTCCTTAGTAAAATCCTGGTTACCCAAGATTCGTGAGCGGAATCCCGCCCACTTTAGGTTTCTAACATGGCCTCTCACCTGCCAAACTGGTGGCGAGAACCCCGCAGAGGATGACCACTCGAAGGATGTTCTTAGCTGACGATTTCATTGCCTCCAGAATTTCTTTCTACTCCGCCGTATAGCTGTCAACGCCGCTGCGGATTCCGTTCTCTTCGTGATGCCTGCTCTTCTTCCGCTTATGTCTGCATAACTCCACTTTTCGTCCGCTTCTGTCCTATCCGCTCTTTGTCTCCGTGCTGCTGACTGCCGTGTCCTTCCAGCTCCTCCCGTTCGTCTCGTCTCCCCGAGAGCTGTCCCCTGAATGAAGGATACCGCGCTGCCGCGAAGACAACAGTGGTCTGGAGATTCCCGACTTCTGTGCACGGGTGTGCGGATTTGGTCCGGTTTTACCGAGTCTATAGCTCTGGTCAATCGGAAAACACTGCACCAGCTGCCATACCGGTAAGGATGCTGTGGTTCTTGCATTTGTCTTTTTTCCCTGAACATTGAGCAGTCCACTTTTTAAAACGTCGCGCGGGGCTTTTATTTGAATATGCGATAGGTATTTATCCACTATCCGGGCGGGTCTTATCACCGCTATAGCATGTAAGCTTTCAAACATCTTCACATTTATATAAACATAAAGGGAAATCTAAAAATTACAATGCACAACATTCATTTAATTCAGCGTTATTTTTATCGTCCTGTCGCCCAAGTTTTTACTGAGACGCGCTATTATTTTATGATAACGAGCGGTTCCGTAATATATATTAAACCGCGAGTAGGTAATACATTTTATATAAAAATACGACATATTTCAGCAGAGCCACAGACAACGAGAAGCAGAGACAGATGAAGCTATGAAAAACGGTCCAAACAATGTGATCGGTCTGAAATTGACAGGTACATTGAAGATGAAGTCCAAAAGAACTAAAAAAGAACAGGAAAATCATGTTTCATTGCGTTTCCCTGCGCATACTGGTAAAAATCACGAGACGGTGAAATGGCAGAAATATCTACTAGACGTTTAACAGTTTGTTAATCGTCACTAGACATTTAACAAATCAGTTAAACGACATCTGATAATTTTCTCTCTTTGCACGTGTAGCAATTGTAAACACTGTCTACGGCGCGGGATAATGTTTATTTATCCATTTATACCTAAATCGGCACAGGCTGCTTAGTTTTCAGTCATATGGGATTTTATCACGATACCTATCTGACTAATGCAAGCTATGCTAATTGCTACGATATCCCCAGTTAAGAAAGCGAATTAACTCTGAGTGGACCTGGAATAATTTTAACATTTTACCTTGACTAATGGTTATGTCTCGACCGACCAATTCCTTTTCATCCAAAAATGCCGATTTATTATATCATTTAAACTTATTCCAACACGACACTACTACCGTACTACCTACATGCCCACAGCGCAGCACAGATCGGTCCTATCGGAGTAGGCTGGTGGGTATGGCAGGCGTAAAAGTATCGCTGTTAAACGGCATTTCATGCCTGCAGTCTCGCTGTTGAAAGAATGAAACATTCAAAGGCCGGTCATGACTCGCCTAAAGTCGATACCGCTGCATTATTTCGTTGAGGTTTAGCGGCAGTCAGGTCACGTGGTTTCGCCTCACGCGGCTAGACGACGGCGGTGAGTGAGACCATGAATCACGTGACCATCGTTCGATGGAACCTCCTTGTTAGACATGCCGGTGTGACTTAAATTGTGCTGTTTCACGCACCGTAGTAAAGGGCACTGAAATGCTGCCGAAGGGAAAACACCGATGACGACTTAGCTTACTGCAGAGTGTCCGGAATAAAACCAAGTAATGCTCCCCGTTTGCTGCGATTATTTTACTCCACTAGTGGATCCAAGGGGTGAGAGTGTATTCGAAGGGATAGGCAACCTTTACATAACGCCCGAAATTGGCAGTGGTGAAAATTGGTATCGGTTGTAACGAAATTGGAAGTCGGTAGCAGAACTTTGCAACCATGGTACCGGCGTTAGCTTTGATTTTTGAGTGTGATAGCTCGTCATTTTTCTTGTAGGCCTTAAGGCATCTAATGCATGGCAGGTAAATTTTGAATCATGGCTATAATTTATATGCCTTGCCTACTTATACAACAAATTCAAATAATGCAAAGGACCCAGAAGTAGGCTTGACGAATCCCAAGGCTGTCTTGCATATGTTTTTTCGAGGCTTTATATTCATATACTACATTTACAATGCAAATTTAATGCTGCAGTTACAAGACAAGCTACTTGCTAAAATGCGCTAATGAATGAGGCAAAATAATGTACCCATGATGAGATCATGTATCGTCAATTGCAACAACGTTAACCTCTAGCTTAATATGCAACATCGAAGGCAGTACCTAAGCCGAATCTCTCATACTGTTGTTCCCATTTTCGACACTACAGCGTCGCTCACAAATTGTCCACTCTAACGCCCTCGTGCCCGCGGGCGGGGCAGGTCAACGGCCTTGAAACGGTCATGCAATCTGAGATCGGCTGGTCGATGGCAATATGAAGCGTACGAGGCAGCCCGCCTGTTCGCAATGTAATACATGCAACGCGTCACTTTACATGCGAAGGTCCGTTTCAGTGCGGACTTTGACGCCGTTTCTATACTAGAGCGCGGCGAAAAATGTTGGGGCGTTTAACGCCACCTCTCCTCCTCCCAGTAACTCATCGGATAAAAAATTATCTCAAATTACTTTCCTTATATGATTTTTTTTTGTTCCAAGCACTTCAATATGTATGCATTTTTTGTTGTTATTTGACAGCATTACAAAACTAGGTTAAAATCACGATGCTGTTAAGAGTAGAACGTGGAGGTCCGGGAGCCACGCCTTACGATACGTTTTAAAATCGGTCTTGGAACAATTTTTAACAGAGCCAATTGATCAACTTGCCCCGTAGGGTGGATCATCAGTCATCTTATCCCACCCCTGGGTAAGCTTGTCAATGTGTATTACTTGTCTCATTCTTTATTAAATGAGCATTTCTAACAAGATAATGCAATATTTCTTGATGAGAAAATAAGCGCGATGGACCAATCTACCATTTGGTACATGAATTAATTTTTCTGCTTTACCTATGGAATTCCATAAAAGAAATGAATAATATAGGCGACTGCACACTCTTTATATCGAATAGCGGTACCGTTCATTTTCTAATGGGCGTTAATGAAGACGATTGGACACTGCCGCCCGAGCCGTGGGCTGTCTTGGATGGCCTGAGACACGGCAGTCATATTCTGAGTTTTGACTGGACGTGACTGGAAGTTTCATCTCATTGTGAAATCTTCTCTGGCTTTAAGGGCGTTGCAAAGTCGCGACATTTCGGGACCGTGCAGAGGTTTACTTACATTTGACGGCATAGGTCAGTGACCTGACCTGGCCTGAAAATGCGGTTGGTGTCAAAATATCCAACTTGAATCAAAATTCAGGTATGCCAAGTTTCAGCTCTTTTTCACCGACATGTTCCAAGCTATCGCGAAAAAACCTATGGAGGAGGCACTCCCCCCCCCCCCTCGGCCAGTGAGTGTTAATACGTGGGAAGAACCACTTAGAGAACACGTTATGGGGCGTTTATGAAAGAGCGCCGGGGAGTGGGTGGGTGCTCATACACCCCTCATACTCCCCCCTCCTCCTCCCCCAACAGGGTGAGGGTTTACTCAAGGGGGCTTCCAGGAGTCGCGCAAGCCGCCCACAAGTCGTTCCCCAAGAAGGCCAGTTAACACATTCCCCTGTCCGGGCTGATGTCCATCCCCTCCCCACCTGCAGGAACCCAGGCAGGCAGTTCCGACTGGAACATACTCCCCCCCCCCCCCTTGGTGACCGTTCGGGCGGGCTGGCTGGTCGCACCTGCATGCCTGTTCTGTGTCAAGGGATCAGCCATTGCCGTGCACCAGTCGATACTCGAATAAGCCGAGTAACAAGGCGTATGATATCTTCTCAATATCCTGAAACTTCACAGCTCATAAATCTTTGCACTGGCGAATCCGAGGGGGCATTCGGGAAATAAGCTCCTCCCGTGGCGTCTGAAAATAACGAAATGTTTGAGAAGAAAGCGGAGTAACTTTTATTGGAAAAAAAATATGCTTTCAATTGCACGGCGCGTAAGGAAGAGTCAAAGAAGCAAGTATAGATAAAAAAAGAAAGGAATCACAGCAAACAAAGTCACAAAAAAGTGAGCGAAGCGCAGGCAAATCTAAACGGGAGAGGTCATGTCTCTCTGACACCGTCTGAAACGAAATTAGCGCCATTCACTCGCGAACAAAGTACTCGGCGGTTGTTTTCCCAGCATCCAGATACGGCTGACCGTAGATGTTGAGCACCGTGAAGAAATATTTTCCTCCCTGGTCCGGTATCAGTGACAGAAGCGCCGAGCCGGCGGAGGGCATCCACGGCAGGACTGCCTTGGTGGGATTGATGGACCCGATAATCGTCACCGATGTCATGTAGTCTGGACTGTAGGCCGACACCTCGAGCGACTGCTGGACCGGCACTGTGCCGTAGAAGCCCTGCTGGTCGGTGCCCTTGGTGAACAGGACCAGAATCTGCCGGCAGAGGGTCGAGACAACTGGTGACATTGGCCCGTCTGCCTCTTGGTCAGTTCGGTCAGTGGGACTGCAGCCATGCTTTTGGTAATTCGCGTTAAGGGACAATGAACAAATTGCTGGATCTGAAATGTGATTACTTACTGATGGGCCTGAGTGTATAAACTTTGTGGTTTTGTCGCATTTGAATCTGGTAGAGTAGTGCTTTGATAAGTGCGCAATAATTTCCTCGCATCAATTTTGGAAAGCGTCGTGCCTGGTCGAAACGTTTTCCAAGTATTACGAGCACCTACACTGAGAAGTGTGAACTGTGAAGCATGTTTATTATTAAACTGCTTTTGTGCTCATGCTTTTAACAACTCCACTGGATTGTGCACACTATTTGGCACTTGGACGCTCATATGGCAGTGGGCATGTGGATTGTGGAAGGTAAGTTGGCAATATGACTAGAGATGTCAATCGGACACCAACTATTTGGTATACCGATACCAAACCGATACCACCTCGGCAGTTGGTATTTCAAGGCGAATGCATTTGGTATTTTGTTGGTATTATGAATACTCAGTTATGTAAGAGAGGCTGAGAATTTGGTAATAAATTTGTATTTTCCTCATATTCCCATGTCCGATCGGTTTCGGTATTTTTCCATGAGTATTGTTGGTATTGGTTTGGTATCGGTATCACGAGTTCCGTAATTGACATCACTAAGCGTGATACTAGAAGTACCCAGGGTATATTGAGTGAAGGGTAGGACGAACTTTGGTAGGAATTTCTAGTATTTCTACTGGAAAACCTACTATATGTGGTCGGGACTAGCAAAAACTTAGTTCAAACTAGAATATGGTAGCGCTTATGGCTGGCAGTTGTGACGCGCACGTGACATTCATTTCTTAAATTTCTAAAATAACAGGTTTTAGGGGCCGATTAGTGGGCAGATACATTCAATTAGCTATTAATAATTGATTATGCAAACATTCAAGAATCTACATCATTCAATTCTAGCCAAAATCACGCGGCGCTCCCAGGATTCGAACTCACGACCCTCCGATCCGTAGCCCGATACGCTACCGACTGCGCTACAGAGGACCGCGCACCGCCGATCGGAGAGGCGGATCGCGGGTGCTGGCGTGCAGAGAAATCTTTACCCTGTACGCCGTAGAAGATCGGCTGGGTTTCGTGAAAAATGGTAGAGGAATTGTCGAAAGAAAATTCATCGATCTATCATTTGAGACTAAGAACCATTGATTCCTTCAAAGGTTGACCGAGATATCGCTCGCTGAAAACAGGCCATTTAACATGTAAACCCTATGGGCTGGTAGGAAATGTACGCCGTGGAGCAGCAGTGCTACCAACTAACTTCGGCGGGGGCCGAAGAAGTACCTACCACGAGCGAAGTCATCTGACCTGAAATGTCGTGTCGACCCCGGCAAGGCTCAGGTCGTTGGCTCGAGACAGTTGCGAGTACGTCGGGTTGTCTGGAGAGTCCACGTTCTGTTCCATCATATTGGTCCGAGACCAAGATCCCCTGTGAAAAAACGCACGTGATAAAATATCTCATAAGACTGTCGGATGTTGTCAAGCGGGCTGTTAGCTCGTCAGGATGTGGATGACCTACCCTCTTCGCCTAGCTTCATTGTGGCCGGAAATAAATCGTCCATCAAGTTTAACCCACGAGCCGCTGGGGGGGGGGGGGGGCATAAAGTTGCCCCCCTTTACGTTTTGTGAAATATCTCCGAAACCTGATGAGCTAACTACGAACGTGAAACTTGGCATAGCTTCAAATGAATACCTAGGCAATGTTTGAGGAAAGTTTGGTAGTTGTAGCACCTAAGATGACGTCACAGTGACGTAATAAAGTTTTGTCGTTTTCCGACATGGACCGTTTCTGATGACGCTGAGCATGAAACTCAACTGTAAATGAACTAGAAAGCACCTGCTGTCATGCTATAACATCTAACTGCACTTCCATCTAGTTTCTGACCAATAATCGACTCTTTATATTCGGTCCCATATATCTGATGTATCGTGAGGAATATGGGACGCGCAAATCTATAATTTCACTTATGACGTCACTGTGACGTCATTTCAAATGGGATCGACACCAAATTTAGACACAACCTCGGCTAGGTATTCAGGAAGATGTATGCAAAGTTTCGCTTCTCTATCTCTTCGCGTTGCGACGATATCGTCGCTGAAGTAAAGGGGGGCAACTATGTGCCCCCCCCCCCCCCAGCGGCCGGCGGGTGGCGCGGAGGCCCAGCGGCCGCCGGGTTAAATTAAATATATAGCAACGGACCGTGGGATGTTGTTAAACGGTTGTTTAATTGTTAGACTGTCGACAGCTCAACTGCTCTGCGTCAAGCTACACCGTGCCCCGAAATAAATTGTCGATGATCCACGTGTAGTTTGTATACCAAAGGGCATATAACCCTATTCAGAGACTACTGTATTACTGGGCTGTGCACGGATGTACGAGAGCAGGCTGTGCCTTAGGTATCCCAGGAAAATATTAATCTGCAGTGCAAATACCTTGAGGAAAATGGAACACTTACCTTAGTATGTCCTTTACTTTTGGAGTAACGCACAATCCACTTTCAACTCGTGCTGTTTCGGTGTCATTTCATGCTTTAACTTACGTCTGGATATATTTAATGTTGCAAGGGTGTATGACTACTGATGAACTGTGCGTGATGCTTACTTGATTATTTGACCAAAATACGTGGTAATTGATTCAAAGCGTGCAATTTGCTGGTTTGAATTGGCAATGGCTGAAGTGCGTATGTTAACACACTGTAGGCTTTATACGATTGAGCGATTTGCTTCATGGATTGTTCCATGTCAAGGCCTGGCTACACTATGCGTTTTCTGCGTGCGTTTTTTTTTTTTTGCGCGTTTGCGGGTTTCGCGTAATATCGCTCGAAAGAATAAACGGTATTTCGTTTTTGTGATGTTTTCATATTAAAGTTTAGTTGAAGTAAGAGTTACATTAACTTTTGTATGTAACTAATGTAAAAGTTTAATTATTTATACCTTTTTTCTAGAACGATATTACGGAAAAAACGCAAATCCGCAAAAAAAACGCACGCAGAAAACGCGTAGTGTAGCCAGGCCTTCAGACTTACTTTCCACCGGTCATTCTGGAGATGAGCGTCCATCCATCGATGCCCGAGTGAGAGGCGCAGTAGTACTTGGTCGTCACGCCGTCCAGAGAGCCGTAGTAGACGTCGTTCATCGGCGCGCCCATCGTCTCGGCCAGGTCACGGCAGGTCACCGTCAGGTCATCGGTGCAGACTCGGCCGTGACACCGGTCGCCGGCGGCGGCCGGGTCGACGCAGTCCGAGTCGTGTCGACAAAACTGCAGGTGGTTGGAGCGGCCCGGACGGACGAACAGCGCGCTGTCGGCGTCGACGGTGATCCGGGAAAAGTCGGGCACCGAGGAGTAGAGTCGACAGGCGCCGCTGACGGCGTTGAAGCTGATGCTGGAGCAGGTGTCGTGGTGGTGGCAGAGCGCGCAGCACGCGCAGCTGGAGGGGACGGTCAGCTGGGGCACCACCAGCTCGGCGTCGGCCATGGTGCCGTTCTGCAGCACCGTCTCCATGCAGGCCCGGCTCGGCGGTATCAGTAGCAGCAGGCTCAGCAGGAGGAGCCGCGGAGACGGCGGGTCACACGCCCGACCACCGGCCATGGCCACCCACCCTTGGAACGGGAACACGAATGTAATGAAATTTATGATGGGAAATAACGTGAAATGTAACGACCGAGCCTGTTTGGAAGGTTGATTTCATATAAGACAAAATTACATTTATACCAAATAAATATATCAAACTTTGCTCTCAGATTTCCGTAACGTTTCGATCCGCTCGTCGTCTCGTTCGCTCTCCCTCAAACCGACCTGATTTTGGACTATGGTCAACGCTTCAAAGAAGATCCTGTCCAATAGCACAACGGCGAGCACCCAGCAGGTGCCCCGTCGACTCCAGTGTGACATGGCAGACCCGGTAGGCCTCGCCAGACTTGCTGATGTGTGTGTTGTCAGTGGCAACATTGGGCATTGGCAGGCCGTCCACCCCGTGAAAACGAACAACCTCACCTCAGGCAAGGGCATGGGGTGCGACAGTATGGGCCACAGGGTACAACGGTTTAATCCGTGTAGGACGAATTACTCTAGATAGCACGTTTTATGTCCTCGCGTCACTCAAATCAGCTTCGCCGCAAGGGACAATGCCAGTGGGTGATTTGCATCACGTCGTAAGCCCATTTCAACCGACCTCCAAATGAGCTTTTCCATGTAGCACGGTCCTCGTGACCGTACAAAATTTGATTAGATAGCTAGTGTAGCTCATGAGGCGAGCTGCACATTACAAAGCGTTGTCAAATAAAGTGGATTGCATGCAAGAATGCAAAAGGGGACGGTGGTCTTCAGTTAACCTTCCGTCCGGTGAACATGTCATTTCAGAATTCAGGGAACTGATTACCGCCACCACTTGACAAACATGAATGGGTGATTGTCAGTGTTGTTAATGTGAGTGCCACTTAAGCAGATAAAAACGGACTTGGCAGCTGTCATTTGAAAAACGTGAATCTGCCATTCATTGGAGCTTTTTGGGTATTACAGCACTGTGTCACTCATGTTAGTTTTGGCGCCAAAGAACAAAGCGCAAGGGATGATTTGCATCGCATCGTGGCACCTACCCATTCCCGCGACTTGGAAATAAGCTGTAATTAAGTCAAATTATTTTATATGTAGCGCGGGCCATGTGATGATAAATTGGATTGGATAATCTGCATGGCTATCTGCAGCGGCGGGTTGAAATTGCAAAGCGCTGTCGAATAGAGCGGGTTGCATGCAGTAACTTAAAGCGGGTTAGCTGTCTTCAGCAAACCTTCCGGCTAAATAACGTGTCATTTTTGGGGACGTGGCTACCGATACCGTTTCACAAACATTGAATTGGTGATCGCCAAAGTCGGGAATGTGAGTGCCCAGTGCCCACTTACATACTGAAAGTGTTCTGGGCAGCCGACATAACCACAGGTCGTTTGAAATAGACAACAGTATTCGTTTGAAATGTTTTTTTCTATTGATAGGAAAAATTCAACTCACCAGTCATCGGTGTCTTTTTTACAGCATAAGGCATAAGAGGCAAGAGCGAACGGTTCGTTTTTTTATTCATTCATTTGTTAACTTGTTAAAAATATATTTTTATCATTGTTTTCGGTATTGGCGACACTGCCGTTGTTTTGAAGAACGCATACAGGGTGTCCCGAAATTGATGCGCGGTTGGCATCACCTATAATGTTCTCCCTCACGGGCACTGAACGAATGGAATTTTACCGGTTTCGGCACCAGGGGCACCTGGCCAATCACGTGGTCACATGATCCCACGGGCTGACCTGACCTCGACCGGTAGTGGGTGCGAGAGGTCATTCTTGTCCAGACAGACAGCACAGATAGACCGCATATCGCCAATGGTGAAAGATCACAAGCCGCCGATCCGCTACCGCGCGGTGGGGATGGTCAAGGGGGTATGACCCAGGTTCAGGTTGCAAGAGAACTGGGTGTCAACATTGCGACAATTAGACGCTGGATGGCCCGCGACCGATCGGGGGAGACCCTCGAGAGCCGCACAGGTCGAGGCCGAAAATCCGCCTTGAGCCGAGTAGCGAAGATTGTCATCGCAAAGTCGACCTTCAAAAGGCACCATTCGACAAGAGTGCTGGCGAGAAAACTGACGGAGAGGCAGCACCCAGCAGCTGTCCACCGGTATCTGAACTCTGAAGGGTATCCTGAAGCTCAAGCCGCTCAAGCTCAGGGTGCAGCCCCGGCTTACCGTGGAACAGAAGCGCCGGCGGTTGGATTTCGCCAAGGCCCACAAAAACTGGACCATTCAGGACTGGAGACGCGTCCTTTTTAGTGACGAGGCACCGTTTGAGGTCTTCCAAGTCCCTGACCGCTAGAACGACCGGGTCTGGTCGAACAGCAGCTCTGAGCGGCCCGCTGTCGAAACCGTGAAGCATCCGCTGAAGATCCTCGTCTGGGGCATGATGAGTTACAGAGGCCTCTCCGATCTTCACCAGGTGCCGCGGCGACAGACCGTGACCGCTGACTACTATGTCAGCGAGGTGCTGGAGAAAACCGCCGCCAAAACGATGAAGCGGAAAAAGGAAAAAGGGCCACCAACAGAAGTCAAACTCCTGCCTGACATGTCAAGGGCCATTTTCCAGGAGGACGGAGCTCCAGCTCATCACGCTAAGAAGACCCAGGACTGGTGCGGCGCGAACTTCCCAGGCTTCTGGGAAAAGGGGACATGGTCTGGCAACAGTCTAGACCTGTCCCCGATCGAAAACCTCTGGGCGATTGTCAAGGAGGAGCTCAGCAAGTTGCCGCCGGCCAGCTCAGAAAAGACGCTGTTTCGGAACGCGCAAACGGCATGGCGGAGTGTCAAGGGAGAGACGCTCGACAACCTTATATGCGGCATGCCAGAGCGGATGAGACAGTGTATACGACTGAAGGGGGCCTATATTGGCAAATAAACCATGACCTGAATTCAAGTATTTTATCTGTTATTGAGAATTAAACAACCGCGCATCAATTTCGGGACACCCTGTATGCAGTAAAGACAATGCATAATTTGTCTTTATCGCGAGCATGTCAAATTATTTCTAAACGACTTCGCGTGAGTGCAAAACGAGTCTTATCCACATCAACCGAAAACTCGGAGGCAACAGTGGCTTGATCCGGGTCGCACCGGCCGGCCGGACCGCCTTTGAGGTGCTTCTGCACCTATAAAGGTATTAACGGCATTCCTTCGCAATCATCAAATCGTTTAGAAAGCGTTATTCTTTGCAAATTGCAGGGTAGATGCCATATGGGTAGACGGGATAGGTATATGGGTAGGCATTCATTTTTTATTTATCTTTACTAGAACAAAAGTTATAAGCGGAAAAAAAAAACTTTTGGCGCGTTTTAGTAAAATTTTTAGATTTATACCCCAACCCCTTCCCCTGAATATTAACCTAGAGTCACCAAAGTTGATCAGTGGCAAGATTGATTTTCAACGGGCCAATCAGCCCTGTAAATTTGGCGTTTCTAATTGCCATAGGGGCAAATCGCCAACGTTATGAAATACATAGGCCTTGGTCTGGCACGGGTTATAACCACTCATATTCTCTATTACATAAACTAAGTACCTACACCAGGCTCCAGGTAATCCATAAAAAGCACTACAGCAGCAGTGCATTGCTAGCCTGTCGAAAGCGCGGCCAGCGCGGCGGGTGCATTGTCTGCTGGTTGGGTAGGGGTGGGGTACGGGCGGGGTACGGGTGGGGTAGGGGTGGGGTGCGGGCGGGGTAGGTACTGGGGCACGGGTGGGGTACGGACTACGGGCGGGGTACGGGCGGGGTACGGGTGGGGTACGGGTGGGGTACGGGCGGGGTACGGGTGGGGTGCGGGTGGGGTAAGGGCGGTGTACGGGCGGGATACGGGTGGGGTACGGACTACGGGCGGGGTACGGGCGGGGTACGGGCGGGGTACGGGCGGGGTACGGGCGGGTCGACCACAGACCGCCCAGTGCGGGCTGGTCGCCCAGAGACCGAACTGCCGTCCCTAACCCGCGGCATGCGAGGGTGGTCACGCCGGCACGGCGCACTGCGCGCATGCACAGTGACGGCAGTGCACCACGACGCACCTCAGGCCGGCACCAGTGGTGACAAGCGGCTGGCGCGCGATACGCACGGTGGGTGGATTATCGGTATGCGAGGTTTATTTGCTAGAATTTAGTCAAAAGGAATGTATTTTTATCATGAACATTTTTCTTTGAAGCGCTTGGCTACTTTAGGTAGAGATTTGATAAAACCGTCGAATAAATTTGACATTTTTACGACGCACCGTACAAACAAACCAAATAGAAGAGACACTTCGCGCAAAAATTTGCGAACTTGTTAAAAACTAAGCTATCTGATATTTCCTCGTTCTGTTCTTCTTCAAGCCCCTACTGTTAATAACGGGGAGAACCGTCCAAGACGCCCTTCTTGAAGAAAAGCCCCTCGCAACATCACTGGTTTATTTACCACGCACTAGCCGTTTTCACGACGACTATTTGGTAGGTACACATTTGGTTTACATTTGGCGCAGAGTTGTTCAACTTGGGTTCATTGTGTTTTAGTAGTTGGGGCATTCCACGATAGATCGTACCACTTTTTCCCAATTTGACACCCTCATCTCTCGGATTTTGGCGATAATTGGTCTAAGGGATAATCAGGGGCTCTGAATCCTCCTGTGACAATTCCAGGCTTATCAGATGAGTAGTTTTTTAGTTATAGTGTATAACATGTTTTGGATCTTGCGTTGCAGCGCCAAGTTTGGCGGGCTGTAACTCTACGACGGATAATCCAAATGCCAAATGCTATACGGCATTGAACTTGCATTGAAACAAAGAATAATATGCATTTTTGAAATTTTGAAATATAAACTATTTTTGATATATAACACCTCGAGCTTCCTTTCATTTGCATTTTTATGCCTTTGGGACCAATTTTTTTTTGAATTTTTATTTTCTCAAAAGCATTTTTGGATCATTTTTAATTAGTGTGCAAAAAATTAGGAAGGTGTTCTCTCTATAAATGTACTTATTTTGCGTTACCGTAATGGTCTCAAATTGTGATTTCGGGAAGAGAGCCTACAAATGGCGTGGTAAAGCTGCCCAGTGACATCACTGGTTACTGAAAGTTCAATTGAAGTCATTTGTGCCCGACTTTTGCATTGTTGACCTTGCGTGACGTCATTCGTACGTCACTAGGGTCATAAGAAGAGTTTTTCGTCAATAACTCTCGATCAAATTGAACTAGAGAGACGGGAAAGCTACCAATGGACTCGGGAAGACCTTGCGAATCGAATGATGTGCAATATGATCTCATTCACCCAGATTCGTGACCTGAACCGACTGTTAACCATCTCTGTGGCGGCGCTGTTTGTCCAGCGCTGCGCTGGTTGGCTTTGCCGCGGACTCGGGCGGTCACGTGATGCCCGGGGGCTGGCTGCTGGCTGGGCCGCCCGGTCGGAGAGCGGAGCCAAATACACGGCAGTGTGCTGACCCGAGATCAGCGACTTATGCTGACCTTACCAGAACAAACAGTATACCATTCGACGCGCCGGAGCAAGGCAAACACAAAGATGCTAAAATCGCGGCTCTGCGACCATTTGTTGCGAAGTTATCTACCAAAAACCGGACCCGTAATTTGGGTCACTTAAAATGACCTCAGGGCTCACCAATGAACCCGAGACCTTAAAATGTGGTATCATTCGATGCATCTTGTAACGGCGCACAAGCTCGTTTTTTCCGCAAGGTTCTAGCTCCATTAGAGGCGAAACGGCGAGCTGGGGTCGTACCGACCCCCCGGAAACCCTTTTTGTATGCATTAAAATGAGGAACTTATAGAAAGAACACCTTTCTAATTTTTTGCATGTCGATTTTAAATGACCTGAAGTTTATTTTGAAGAAATAAAAATTGCAAAAATTTTGGTCCCAAGGGCCATTATAGACAATTTAAAAAAATATTACGACTTTTTTCAATATGTAAAGCTTTTCTTTCCAATTTTAAAAAGGCTGTATTTATCTTTGATTCATCGTTAGTTCAAAGCTGTTTACCGTTTGTTGCTTGCTTAGCTCGTTTTTGAGTTATAGCTCATCAAACCCACCCTTACAATCTGAAGTTTAGAAAATATTATGCAATATAACTCAAAAAGTTTTCATCTGAGAAGTCTGATATTTTGGCAGGTGTTTTTGGAGCCTATGAGTACCCCTAGTACCAATTTTCATTCAAATCTGAGCGATGAGGGTGACGGGCCTGGTACGATCTATCGTGGAATGCCCCAGTTATCAGCTAGGGTTGCACTAGTTTTTCATGTACCCGATTTTTTTAAATCATCAAAGATCGGATATTTTTTCGATTAAAACACAAAAATATATTAATAATATGAAGATATTTGTTATAAAAGAGATTTGGTGCAGATTTGATTAAAGTTGGTGCATTTGCCAGATCCCTAACCCGTCGTAAAAATGGCTTCTATTGATTAAATTGCTATAGCCCCGTCTCTTCGCTACTAAGAAAAATTATATTTAAAGCTCTAGGGTGTTTCAAACCACCATGAATGAGTTTTTGCAAGGCCCTTGCAAACGGAGCGTCTTACATTACGGTTATGTAAGGTGCCCCACTTGCGTTGTTACCTGGTAATTAAGTAGCAAATTCCCAGACAATGCATCTACATAACCGGCTTAATTCTGTAGCACTCTATCTTTTAAGATAGGAGGAACGTATTTATGTCAGTAGTCAAACTTTTTAACCCGCGCCTTGCTGGTGGTCTAAGTTTTTCGTGCCGTGCTAAAGGGGGATTCACGCCCCCCGTCTAACTCAGCTCCTGCGGTCGGCGGTAAGCATAATTCTAAGGAGCGTCAAAAATAATGAAGAAAACACTTTGATCATTTTCAAGTCAGGTGAAAGGTCAGGTCACCAGAGGTCATCAAAGGTAAAATGTTGCCTATTTCAACTTTTTTTCCTCGAAACAGCGCAACATACCTGGGAAACCAATAAAGATACAGCGCCGTGGAAAAGCGCATTCGATAGTCCTTTGAACTCTTTTTCCGAAGTGCGCACTCAGATCTGACCGAAGATCAACGGTTTAGCCTCCAGTGAGCAAAAAACTAGAATATAGCCGTTTTACGAAAAAAAAGTTTTCTGCAATAACTTTTGACTCAAGAAAGTCACATTACCTTTGCCAGAATCGTGCTCCTCTTGTCGAGACGCGTCGAATGAACTATAATTTGACCCTTGAAGGTCGTTTTGAAAATTTGACCTCAGGTCAAGGTCATGACCTGACCGGAGAAGGTCATGGTGCATATCAGTCGATCCGTATCGTCAAGCTGAACACATCTGATATGTTTTTATCGCTCTGGCAGGCCTCTATCAAAAGTTATCTTAAAAAACTACTGGGTACCTTTCATGACCCAAGATGACCTCATGGACATAAGAAGAGGTACCAGGTGCTGTTTTCTGGTTCAGTGTGTCATTTTTACTTGTATGAGAGTGTTTAGTAGGCATGAATTTCGTTAAAAAGAGGCCCATTTCATTGACTTAAAATGGAGAGGTCGCAAAATTGACCTGACCTTAAAAAAAATATCACAATTCCGAGATAAATATCGTACATATACTGTTACTCTTATCAATCGCTGAAAGTTTGAAAGCGATCGATCAGTCGGTAAAGCAATGGCGAGCATTTGAACCTTTTCTAAGGTGACCTAGTGACCTGACCTTGAACGACCAGCGCGCGGCGCCTAATTTTTTTTCACAAGATGCGCAGAAAAGATGTATGATAAGGTGTCTCAAAAACGGCGGAGCGCAGCACCGATATTCGCAAAAAAAAACTGGGGTGGGGGGCGTGAAAACGCCCCCATGCACGGTCCAGTTAAGAACACAATGGGATGGAGAGCCGGGTAAAAGGGCAATCCTTAGCACTTGCAAAATTGTTTGCTTAAAAAGTGTACCATCGCAAAATATCTATCCAGGCCTTCTCGATATTTCTTGCATCGTTTCACCTTAGCTAGCAACAGCCCATTGCAATAGCTTTTTTAATGTGAGAAATGTAGTAGTGTTCGCCATGGGCCGGGCCAGCCCAATGGGCCATGGGCTGGGCTGGCTACGGGCTGGGCTGGGCCCTCAAATATGAGGGATCGATGGGCTGTGGATGGGCTGGGCCAAGAACTGTAGTGGAGTCAGGGGTTCGCAACTGAGACAAAAATTATAACTACATAGCTTATTACTGTGCAAGACTCAAAAACGAGTTAATGTGCATGCAATGTGCATTGCATTGTGCATGCTGCTCGCAAAAACATTGTTTCTTTGCTACCTTTCGATACCTATGTGGTGTCAATAATTTCTCATGCATTCATTTTTGACGGATTGGGCCGGGCTGGGCTTTGACGCTTTAACCATGAATGGGCTCGGGCTGGGTTGGGCTGTGAACCCATGGGCTTGGGCTGGGCTGGACTGGGATTTTACGGCCCGTGGCGAACACTGAAATGTAGGCATGTAAAACGACGGTATGGGCGTTGCAGGTCATGGTGTTTTCATTACATTCGTGTTCCCGTTCCAAGGGTGGGTGGCCATGGCCGGTGGTCGGGCGTGTGACCCGCCGTCTCCGCGGCTCCTGCTGCTGAGCCTGCTGATACTGATACCGCCGAGCCGGGCCTGCATGGAGACGGTGCTGCAGAACGGCACCATGGCCGACGCCGAGCTGGTGGTGCCCCAGCTGACCGTCCCCTCCAGCTGCGCGTGCTGCGCGCTCTGCCACCACCACGACACCTGCTCCAGCATCAGCTTCAACGCCGTCAGCGGCGCCTGTCGACTCTACTCCTCGGTGCCCGACTTTTCCCGGATCACCGTCGACGCCGACAGCGCGCTGTTCGTCCGTCCGGGCCGCTCCAACCACCTGCAGTTTTGTCGACACGACTCGGACTGCGTCGACCCGGCCGCCGCCGGCGACCAGTGTCACGGCCGCGTCTGCACCGATGACCCGACGGTGACCTGCCGTGACCTGGCCGAGACGATGGGCGCGCCGATGAACGACGTCTACTACGGCTCTCTGGACGGCGTGACGACCAAGTACTACTGCGCCTCTCACTCGGGCATCGACGGATGGACGCTCATCTCCAGGATGACCGGTGGAAAGTAAGTCTGAAGGCCTGGCTACACTACGCATTTTCTGCGCTTGTTTTTTTGCGGGTTTGCGTTTTTCCGTAATATAGTTGTAGAAAAAAGCTATAAATAATATAGCTTTTACATTAGTTACATACAAAAGTTAATGTAACTCTTATATCAGCTAAAATTTAATATGGAAAACATCACAAAAATATAATATCGTTTATTCTTTAGAACGAAATTACGCAAAACCCGCAAACCCGCAAAAAACGCACGCAGAAAACGCAAAGTGTAGCCAGGCCTTGAAGGGGAACAGTCCGTGAAGCAAATCGCTCAATCGTTTAAAGCCAATAAGTGTGTAAACAAACGCACTTCAGCCATTGCCAATTCAAACCAGCTAATTGCACGCTTTGGATCAATTACCACGTATTTTGATCAAATAGTCAAGTAAGCATTAGGTACGCATAGTTCATCAGTAGTCCGTCATACCCCCTGGCAACATTAAGCATATCCAGACGTAGGTAAAGCATGACACATAATGACACCGAAACAGCACGAGTTGATAGTGGATTGTGCGTTCCTTCAAAAGTAAAGAACATTTCAATGTAAGTGTTCCATTTTCCTTAAGATATTTGCACTGCAGATTAACATTTCTCTAGAATAACTAAGGCACATGCTGCTCTATTACATCCGTGCTCAGTCCAGTAATACAGTAGTCTTTGAATAGTGTTAGGTATATGTCTTTGGGTATACAAACTGCACGTTGATCATCGACAATTTATTTCGGGGCACGGTGTAGCTTGACGCAAAGCAGTTGAGCTGTCGACAGTCTAACAATTAAACAACCGTTTAAAAACATCCGACGGTCCGTTGCTATATATTCAATTTTAACTTAATAAAGATACGAACTAAATCAACCGAGCTAAGCATATACACACAAAGCACCTTGGAACCCAGGGAAGCGATAAATGCACCCCAAATGCTGCCGCCTGTGACGCTAGCCTTATAACATAAATGACGTCAAAGGTAATACCTGAGCGTGCAACGTGACACCGCAACGTGGCTGAACGATTCATACGTGAAATGCAGTTGATTTGCTGTAAAATGAGACATGTCAAAGCTGAAATGTAACAGCTGTAAGGTACAACCAAAAGTGGCTCACTTTGTGCCGGCCAAGGCCGCATATACCTACATGAGAACTCTTCATAACTAACGAATGCACGAATTTTGACCTGCTGCCGCGCTTTTTCTCACAGGGGATCTTGGTCTCGCACGAACATGATGCAACGCAACGTGGACTCTCCAGATAACCCGACGTACTCGCAATTGTTCCGAGCCAACGACCTGAGAGCCGCCGGGGTCGACACGACATTTCAGGTCAGTTAACACCGCTCGAGGCGGTGCCACGTCGCTGGCCTACTTTCTTAAACCTGCATAGACCTATATGAGTCTATATATGATGTATATGTTACAGGCAAAGTGAAAACTCGGGCATTTTGCAAAATGCCTAGGCAATTTGCAAAATGCCCAGGCAATTTGCAAAATGCCTGACCGGCCAGGCATTTTGCAAAATGCCTAGGCAGTTTGCAAACTGCCTGGCCCACCAGGCATTTTGCAAACTGCCTGAAATTATTTTCTCAGGCAGTTTGCAAAATGCCCGACATCGAACTCACACCAGCGACGATGCGTAAGCATTATTGTAAGTGCCGCTTACAGGGGTTAATCACAAGCGATACGCACCAAGTAGGAGGACACACCGAGTGAGACATTCTCCGGGTAGCGCTGCCGAGTTCAGGGTCACTGAGCCCCAGGCAGCGGCCCGACCGCCGCGCCGGCTGCCGGGCGCCCGGCGCGGTTTTATCGGTAAACACGCGTTAAAGGTAGTGTGCCAGCTTTCTTGGACCGTATGGAGTTAATGGCCCAGATAAGGAGAACCGGATTTTTAGAACTTATCCATACCTTCAAAACTCATGGAAACGTCTTAAATTCTTCAAATTTTGAGTACCCCAGTGCGAAATTCGCCCCGACGGGTTGTCGGTCGTACCCCAACCACATTTCACACCACTATGAACAATAAATGCACACACTGAAATCGCTATTACCGATATGCTCATCCAATCAAGTTTCGATAAACCCGTTCATCATCATCTCCTGCGGTTTCGAACACGCCTGTTAGGTGGCTTCTGATGCTCGTCGAGGTCGGAATTTCCAAATACGCGTGGTGCGTCGGGCCGCGCGCTCTGACTTCGGCCAAGAAAAATGCGTCAGCTGATCATTGTCATTTCTGCCACTTGCGTGTGGTGAAATGGGGTCATAACTTATAAGACGGCTTTTTCATATCAATTATTTTACATAAAATCATATTTCAAACCATAAATAATGTTCGACAGCCAAATAAAAGAAACAATACAATACGGGCTTACAGTTTAAGGCTCGACATTGTGTTGTCTACGATTAGACAGCTGATAACTCATTCCCGTACGTCGTATGGTCGTAACACTATAATGACCTTTGCTTATTGTCACAAGTGCGCCGCATTCGCGATTGTTGCCCGACGCCTGTTTGCAGGTGAGCCCACTACAGTTGTTATACATATCTAAAAACCGAAAAACTTTTAGGCGAAAAAGGCACTATTCCAGGCCCATTTTTTTTTGCGATATTAGGTAAAAACAGAAGCTTCTTATCCTAGGAAAAATAAAATGGGAAATCTTTCAAAGGTGGCACACTACCTTTAAACATGGTAATGTTTCTAAGAGCCTTGATGACTCTGGAAATACTTTGGGTAGATCTGATCAGAAAAGAATGTTCTTTCGATGTATGGTAGTTTGATTGGCGGGCCACACGCCTACATTATCAATGCATTGTGACTGTGTAAAGATGAACATGTCCGTTGAATGTAAAACTTGTTATTTCTAAGCGTCTTTTTATTATAAAGGTGTGCACGTGGGTCGTGGATGACCAAAAACTTGCTTTTCTGGAAAAGCCATATGTTCTTTTAGTCTATGGAATGTATCTCATCGCATTCCAATGCATTGTTTATAAATGCTGTTTTTCCTGAAATGTACCAAAAATGGCTAATTTCTCAAGATATAGACTATTTCTTTCCACATGACACGTGATTAACAAAAATGCTTATTGGATACGATGTCTCTGTTCTATCGATCGAGCTGGCAACCCCGTGTCACTGCGGCCCTCTGTTGCCGTGATGTAAGTAAGCACGGGAAGCGAAGAATGTCGGGTCAATATTCGGCCGGTCGCCGCGTTTTTCCGCGCCCATGTTTTTTTCTGTGCCCTGCTCCGCGCCCCATCACAGCATTCGTACACACGCACGGCTACAACTCCGTATACGAAAAGTATAGGGAGACGTTGGCTCAATCTACACAGTCCATTCAGTAGTGGCTCCATCTCGACGGAAGTGGCGGAAGACGTGGGTATATTCGTAAATATTGAATGTGCTTGGGGCTCAGGCACATGGGAACGACGTGGTCAACGCCTGTGGTAAACAAAAACGGTAAAATAAATCAATCACAACTCAGGCATTTTGCAAAATGCCTGACCCGCCAGGCATTTTGTAAACTGCCTAGGCAGTTTGCAAAATGCCTGGTGGGTCAGGCAGTTTGCAAATTGCCTAGGCATTTCGCAAAATGCCTGGCCGGTCAGTCATTTTGCAAATTGCCTGGGCATTTTGCAAAATGCCTAGCCGGTCAGGCATTTTGCAAATTGCCTAGGCATTTTGCAAAATGCCCGAGTTTTCACTTTGCCTGTAACATATACATATATGATATATGAACGTCCAGTGCCTAAGTGCGTGCACAATATAGTGCACATGTTGAAAGTATGCGAACACATGTTGGTAAATGATGCCTAAATCCCAAATTAATGCGCCGAAGGCATTTCCCACTCCTCAGATCATCCCTAAACGAGATTCAAAGACAAAGAAACCACAAAGTTTATACCTTCACTTTCAGGTTTATCAATAAGTTACCATATTCCAAATCCAGTTATCCGCTTAGGTATACATATATTATATAGATAGAACTCTACATACCTATGTAGAGGTCTATGCTGCTTATTATTCATTAGCCACAGAAGCATAGGCGGCGGAACGAGGGTGGCCCCTTTGATTTTTTTTTTTGAATTTTAACATTAGCCCTATGGGCGTTGCATGGAAAGAATGGGATCCAAAGTCGGCAGTGCCCCCCCCCCTTAATTGAAGGCGTTCCTCCGCCACTGCACAGAAGCACCAAAAGTGACCGGCCCCACCGACAGCCAGAGACCACCAGCACAGGCGCCACGACTTCACTGCAGCCGTCTGCGTCTGTCTCTCTGTGCCGGCAGATTCTGGTGCTGTTCGACACGAGCGTCGGTTTCCACGGCACGGTGCCGGTCCAGCAGTCGCTCGAGGTGAACACCTACACGGGAACCAGCTCCGTGACCTCGGTGACCCTCATCGGAGCGATGGACGCCGCAAAGGCTATCCTGCCGTGGATGCCCAGCGCCGGAAACGCCCTGCTGTCACTGACCACGGATCAGGGGTCGGTGTACTATTTCCAGACGCTGATCAACACAGCCGGTACGCCGTACCTGGGCTCGGCTCAGACCAATTCCGAGTACTATGTTCGGGAGTGAATGACGCTAATTTCGTTATAATTTCGTTTCAGACTCTGTGAGACTCTCCCCAGTTGGATCTGGCTGTTTTGTTGGCTATGTGTCTTTGTTTGCTGTGATTGATTACATTTAGTCTTGAAGGCCGCGCAGTTGATTAATTCGTTCAGTTATGATTCCTGACAAGTCATCTATCACCTTCATGGAGCTATAAATATAGGCGAATACGAGCTGCGAGTCTGGAAAACGGGAACCAGGTAGAAATCATTTTGATGAAGTTGATCGTCCGTGAAATCAATGTGCGCTTACCAGTTGGCAGTTTTACAAGTAATTCACTTGCCAATCTCGCCAATCCCGTGCTGTGTTCAAACTTCAAAGGGACGTTTACCGTAAGGGTCGAACTTCACCTACGCCGGGCCGGTGCTCGGCGCCAGCCGCGCCAGGCCGGGGGAGGGGCGTTTGAACACCCCTCCTCCTCCCTTTCTAATTCGGCTCCTCGGCCACGTAGCGAAACGATACGCGATAAGCGGCATGTGAAATAATGCCACAAATCACGACGAAAGCACTTCAGTCAATTTTGGGGTCAGGACAAAAGTCAGGTCACCAGAGGTCATCAAATGAAAAATGTTGCCATTTCAACATTTTTTTTTCTCGAAATGCGGCACATAGCTCGGGAACCAATAGAGCTACAGCGCCGCATAAATGCGCAATCGATAACCCTATTAACGCTCTTTCTAAGTAGCGATCTCAGATTTGACCTGGGAGTCGCGGTTTGGCCTCCAGGGGGCAAACCGCGAAAAATAACCGTTTTTAACGAAACACGTTGTTCTGTAATAGCTTTTGACCAAAGAAAGACATTTGTTCTGCCAGCACCGTGTCTCTATCGTCAAAACGTGTCGAATCAACAATTAGTTGACTTTGAAAGGTCAATTTCAGAATTTGACCTAAGGCCAAGGTCATGACGTGACTACCCAGTAAACATGCCGACGTCGGCCCGACGTCGGGCCGAGGCTCGGCCCGTTCAACCTCGGCCCGACATCGGCTGGACGTCGGGTATGCCCGCATGTACCGACGTCCAGCCGAAGTCCAGCTGACGTCGAGCCGACGTCGGGCCGAGGTCGTCTGCCGAGGTTGACGAGATCGTTTGTCGTTGGACCGACGGGGCCGACGTCGGCATGTTTATTGGGACCACGCGCCAAAAATATCAACCGGCGGCGGGATTCGAGCCCCAGTCGCCGACGTCGGCATGTTTACTGGGACAACGCGCCAAAAGCATCAGCCGGCGATTGGATTCGAACCCCTTGTCACTTGAACGCGAGGTTAGTGCGCTAACCACTACACCACGCAGCCAGATGGCGAATTTAGTTTGTTTTGTTGGGTTATGCCCTTTGGGTCTGACGAGACCATTTCAGAGCCGGAAGGATGATAGGATGGAGACATTGGTCTTCTTGGCGAGCACCCTGGGTCCAGTTCATATAGAGTCCCATTGCTGTTACGTGACACTTATTGGAAAGTGCGACCCCAGAAATGCGTATTCATATAGCCACCCTTACACACCTGCACCAACGTTTCCCAAAGTGTCCCTTTGATAAGTGGCAGTTTGGCAAAGTGACACTTGCCGACTGGCCTTTCTATATGAACTGGGCCCCGGGCCCGGCCCTGGTGAGTTGCCGCGGCTGAGCCTGACCAAAGGATAGGCCGAGCAGCCCCCAAGCACTCACCGCACCCGGCTACGGGCGAGCTCGGCTTACGGGCAATCCCAAATGGGATAAAGTTTCCCGTCCAGTCCGGAGCAGGGGGTTGCGGCGTGGAGGAGGATTTGAGTTTCCTGAGGATATTTTGAATACAGAAGCTCTTTATGAAACATGAAACATGCATTTTATATTATTGTTACGTATGTCGATGTATGGCTCTATCTCTGCCTGTTGCGCTGCCTCTGCCTGTAGCGCAGTTGTGTCTGTAGCCTGTAGTCTCTTAAGTGACGCGCGGTATGTCGGCCGCCGTGGTCCCGGTGGCCTAGTGGCTTACGGCGCATGTATCGCCTGGTCGAGACCGTTTTTGCCTTGGGTTCGAGACCAGGCGGGTGAACCTTTACGCGATTGGTGATCTGCGAGTCTATGTGGGCTGGTGATCGAACACTGCGCCCTGATTGGCTGGTGGCGTGACCGGGGGTCAGGGTCGGCCGCGGCGGGCAGTCCCGGCCCGGGAGTGAGCAGGTGAGCACGCGTTCCTCAGCCCTCTCGCCTGCCTTCCTCAGATACGAGCCGTGCTGATACCGACGGTGCAGCGCTCGTGCATTCAGGGCTACCCCCTGAATGTCCCCTTTCCTGGTGCTTGATATTTCGAGCACTCGTCCATGCTGCTTGGTGTTCCGAGCGCCTGCCCATGCTGCTTGGTATTCCGAGCATGTTGTCCCATAGCCTCGTCCCTGCCATGGCTCCATTTCTCCGAGTCACTGTACACGAGTAGTTAGGCTGTTAATTACAGGCTGATATGTGTTGTCGGGTCAAACTGTTACCTTGGGAAACCGTGCTGTTCTAACCATTGAAAAGGTGCCTGGCTGGAAATAGACAGCCCAAGTGAGTTTACTGTGTGTCAGGGATAAAAGGGCAGGAAGTTTGGAAGGCAGGGCTATCCAGGAGTAATTAACGTAACACTGGTGTCAGAAGTGGGATACTTGATTTTCTGGGAAGTAACTGAAACAATTAAGTTTTTTTCACTCACCTTCTCCCACATAAAAACCCACATCATGTCCGAAGACAAAAGGGTAACGAGAAGCCAAACTGAGCAGGGGAAGTTACAGCTTCCGGGAGATTTGGGAGAGCAAATAGCAACGCTGATGCAGACCAAGCTGGATGAACATGACGAAAGGACTCAGGCAGCATTTGTAGATCAGATGCATGCCCTTCAGGAACGAATGCAGAACATCACGGACCTGGTCATGGATTCAGGACATCCTGTTGGGAGAGACAGGGTTCAGGAACTCCCAGCAGCCACCCCAGGGATCAGCCGATGTGACAAAGACAGACGCATCCCTCAAAGCTTCGATGGTGCCTCATCTTGGCGTGCATATTTCACACAGTTCCAGCTAATTGCAAGCCAGAACAAGTGGACAGAAGAGGAGAAGGCGATGCAGTTGGCAGCGAGTCTGAAGGGTCCTGCGCTGGAGATCCTTGGTCACCTCCCGGAGGCCCAGTGCCGAAACTTCGAGAAGCTCACAGAAGCGCTGAACCAGCGTTTTGGGGTCGAGCACCAAGAGGAGGCCTTCAGAGCGCAGTTCAGGACGCGCTCTCGTCGTCCTCAGGAACCTCTGGCCGAGCTCGCACAAGACATTGAAAAGTTGGCATATCTGGCCTACCCGTTGGCTCCTGCAGAGTTTCGCGGCATCCTGATCCGAGACCAGTTTATTGACGCCCTGGATGACATCGAGCTGAAGATATCCGTTCGGCAGACCCGCCCGTCCGCCCTCAAGGACGCGCTTGGTTGTGCGCTGGAGTTGGAGTCAATCCGGAGATCAGTGAAGCCGGCAGAGACAACTGGTGATGGAACATCCGGTTTCAAGACGCGCGTAGCCAGCGCTGGTGCTGAAACTGCTAGGTCTCAAGAATCCGTTCTACAACAAATCATGCAAGCACTAGCAAGGATAGAGCGCAGTCAAAAAGCTACGGGAGAAGGAGCAGCGGCCTCAGGATCAGTCAGTGATAATCGACGACGCACTGATGCCTCCTGCTGGAACTGTGGGCGGCGAGGTCATCTGCAGCGGAACTGTCGGCTTCCCATCCGAGGCGGGAAGGATCAGCGGTCTGAACGGAGTGGACAGCCGTCACAGCTGGGAAACTGAGAACGGCTGACGAAACGGGACATCAGTCAGCCGACCTCAAGATAAGTCCCACTGTCACGAAAAACGTCGCCCGATGCAGCAATCCTGGCTCTCTTGTAGTGACCGGAACAGTAAACGGAAGGAGACAGCGCATTTTGGTGGACTCAGGCTCAAACAAGACGATTGTGCGAAATGACGTTGTTGAAGCCAAAGACATTCCAGAAGCCCAGGTTGACCTGTGTGGAGTAACGGGTCATCGCATACCTCTTTGCGGTCCAGTGGATGTAGAACTGCAAGTGGGGACCGCATCTTTGCAACACTCCGTGTACGTGGCAGACATCGACGATCCCTGCATCCTCGGACTTGACTTCCTGACCAAGTACAAGTGCAAAATTGACATACCCAATCTAACGATGGAAGCTGCTGGCGTGCAGGTCCCAATGCAAGTACAAGCTGAGCACAGTGTCAGCTCATACAGGATCACAACACAAAAGGCAATTCGAGTCCCGCCCATGTCAGAAATGGTCGTTCACTGCCGCGCGGAAGGTCTGCCTGATATTAACGGTGCACACCATGCGCTCATCGAAGGTAGTGAGATCATTGACAGAGGCTTGCTGGTGGGCCGCACCCTGGTTGACTGTGGGAAGCCAGCGGTGCCTGCTTTGGTGGCAAACATCTCTGACAAATCCATCAGCCTGCCTGAGGGGACTCTGCTTGGGACCTGCGAATTCGTCAACTGCATTGAGGAGGTAAAGGAAACGCATCTAAAACCTGTGAAGCACTCCGAATCACTACCTGAGCATCTTCGAGAACTATACGAACGTAGCCAGTCCGAGTTGTCCCCTCATGAAGCACAGGAGCTGAAGAACCTGCTTACCATCTATGCTGATGTATTCTCGAGGGGTGGTCATGACTTGGGATGCACAGATCTGACCGAGCACACGATCGACACGGGGGACCAGCGACCGATCAAGCTGCCACCAAGGAAGGTCCCTCTTGGAAAAAGGGACGAAGCTGAGGAAATGATCCGGGACATGGAGCAGCAGGGGTTGATTGAGCCATCGAGGAGTCCCTGGTCGTTCCCTGTGGTCATGGTAAAGAAAAAAGATGGCACCTTACGGTTCTGCATCGATTACCGAGCGTTAAACCAAGTCACTGTGAAGGACTCCTACCCTCTGCCCAGAATTGACGATACGCTTGACGCCCTGTCTGGAAGCAAGTGGTTCTCCACTCTGGACCTGAAGTCCGGCTACCACCAAGTCAAGATGGCAGACCAAGATAAAGAAAAGACAGCATTCTGTGCGGGCGGAGGGCTTCAACTTTGGCAGTTCCGAGTCATGCCTTTCGGACTGTGCAACGCCCCAGCAACGTTCGAGCGTCTCATGGAGAGGGTGCTGGATGGTCT